ACTCGAATACCACGACCAAATATTGAATAGCAATGTTACCGGATTAAAAGATTAATTTAATTTTAAGTTATTTGTGCAGTTTTAAAAAACAATTACTGTCAATATACATAATACTATACCATCACTTATTCCTGTACTTCAATATTGTCTTTCATCCCTATTTTTCTGAGAACTAAATTTGTACTTTACAGCATTTAGTAAACTATGCACGTTTTATTCATTGTGAAATTTAAAAAAAAACAGTTCATAATGAAATTTAAGTCGTCACTATTGTAAATAATATTTCTGCTTAAACAAATGGAACTTCTTTACGAAACGATACTTTACTCAAATAGTATTGAATTGAGATCTCAAGAGAGGGTGGGTAACCTCCTCTTTCAGCAACAGGTTCTTAACGAAACTAGGCCAAAGGTGAAGCAAAGAACCATAACTTTTGAATAATCTACGTTACCATCGTCTTTAACGCTGTGCTGAACTTTATTCAGACATATATTTATTATTTATGCACTCTAATTTAATAAATATTACAATTTTGCACAAAGTTTAATTGCTGTATATTTACAATATTAATTTGTTATGAACGTATTCTAGTAAAAAAAACACATAAAATTTATTGATATAAATTTACCCCAGTCCTAAAGAATTATAAAAAATATAAAGTCAGGTTCTTGAAGATATACACAGCTTGACATAAATTTAACCATTTTAGAAGGTTACTGTGTACCATAACTGGAGCAGCTTTTGTGGAAACTATCGCTCTGCTAATACTAAGATTTATTTATCTTCATTTATCATTTTGCACAAATTGTATTATATTTTACGATATTTATTACGTTAATTGATAACTTTATAAGATCCTTATAAAAAAAAAGTCATATGTTTTATAATTTAATGGAAATAATGTATCACATTCAGAGTGCTCTAAATTACAACACACCAACAAATTTAATACAAAGCTTTATAAACATTTTTTTCGACGCTTTTTAGACATGCCATTTTGTGTATAAAAAATGTAAAGATACGCCCTACCCCATGTATTGCGTCGTTGTTTATTTGAAATTTGTACACCGTCGCTGTCGGCTTGAAAATATGTTCGTTATATCCCTGGCTTTAATAATATCCTAGCCGCAGAGAAAATTGCGTCTCACAATCTAATAAACTTGACACCTTCGCTACATCCAATTAAGGACAAATCTAAGTTATTCCTGTGTTGTTGTTTTATAGCTAGTGGTGTCTGATATTGTTACTCAGAACATCCCTAATTTCTATTCATTTTGACAAAGTGACACAAAAACCGTCTGCTTCGCCATATAATCATAAGATACATTAATACATAGGCTCATGATAACAATTTAATATGGAACATTAATTTTACTATAGTGTGAATGTATTGTAACGTCTAGCAAAAATTTCTTGTTTTTATAAGAAGTGTAATTTGCGTCTTAAAACTTATACTAAGTCTTAATTAACTAGAAACTTAAACGCTCCAAATACACATAAGTTTTAAGAAATTAATTTTTAAGAAAATGGCAGGGCCATTAGAGGACATAAAACCTTTCGAAATCTCATTTTAAATTTTAATTTGAGATCCCGTCAACGCTATAAAAGCTTCGTTTCTATATGTATTTGTATATTATACTAAAAGCTATGAAGACCCGGATTTTCAAGTGAGTAAATTTTAAAACAAATCCAAAAAAATATGTAAATCTCATTTAAAACTTTTTTTATTTTCTTCTTACTTCAGGTTTCTTTACCTACAATTTGTATACTATAAAAATCATATCAAACTATGCGTTTTGACTGATAGTTTTCAAGGGTTTATGTGAAAGAACTTGGAAATTACGATGAGCACAAAAATTTAACTAGATTGTAATTCTACACACTTGCGGTTGGCAGTGTGCCGTTGCGGTTCGCACATCGATTTTATATAAAAACGAATGATAATAGGTCTTTACCTATGAAATTGCCGTTTCGAATCTGTTATTCGAAGTAATCACCCATGCAATCGACGCATCTTTGCCAACGCATTGGCAGTTTATTGATGCCCTGCTTGTAAAAATCAGCTGGACGGGAGGCAACAAACTCTTCAAAGGCATTTTGTACTGCCTCTCGGGAATTGAATTTTTTACCCACCTAAAAGTTGTCTAAATTTTGGAAAAAGTAATAGTCGGTAGGTGCAAGGTCTGGTGGTCACATCTGCAACCAGCTTTGGTCAATCGGTCGTCCCCACTGCTCCTTCACGACAACGCGCGACCCCATACTGCGCAACAGACAGTCTCCAAGCTGCAAGAGCTGGGGTTGGAAGCTCTCCCTCATCCGCCATACTCACCAGACCTTGCACCTTGGTCATGCACAAAGTCACACGCATGCGATATACTCGTAATCCAGAAAATTTGGTTTTATATGTCAAGATAAAACATAGATAAATTACTTCAAAATAAATGATCATTATGTTAGTAACATGCTTATATTTCCACATCTGATACCAATAAACTTTACCTGAAATAAAATCGTTAGGGTCGTAAAACTTTCCTCTATCCTACAAGCAATACTGTGAAAGATCAAATTAAGAACCTCCGGTCACTCCCTCGTAATTTTCCTTTTTCGCTTCGGACCCTTGTCAACAATAGAGCTTATCTATTTCATAGACGGACCCCTCTCATTAGGCTGACCTAGGGTATTTGATATCTCTACAGTATTGATACCACGACTTGCTAACCTCAAGATTAAATTGATTCAATCACCATTTACCTAAATGGAACATTAGTTTGCGTCTTCAGCTTAATAATAACGTATACCAAACTTTCAATTCAGCTTTCCTGGGGCCTAATCTACAGGTTTTTTTTTTTATTTAATTCCTTATTTACAATTAAAAAATAAAGTGAGTCTACAATACAACATTATAATTACTAGCTCTAATCTACGAATACGCTGTTGTATCTACCTACGTGTTAGGATCATCGGAGAAAATGCTTATACAGCTAAGCTTGATGTATGTTTTCTAATCCCAAACATACATCTTTCCTAAACTAGCTTACAGATCACTGAAAGACAGTCGCAGGGAATATTTGCTAAGTCACGTACCTCGACACCGCTATGGATGTATCCGTTACGCTACACTTCCATTTTCATGGCACAAAACTGTTGCACGTGACAGTGCCGACAAAGGCGATAGTGTTAACCTATAATTTTATAAAACTTTTTAAGTATATAATAGGTTTGTAGCAACAACAATTACTGCCTCGGTGGTTCAGTGCTAGCGTATGCAACTGCTATGCTGAACTCTGGGGTTATATTTACAAATATTTGTTTCAGAGTTTGGGTGTTTTCTATGTATAATATGTATGTATTTACAAAAAAGTACCTATATAAGTATTCTATCACTCAATCTAGCTTTCGTGGTTCAAGCTCTGCTTAGTGTGAAACTAGATGGCGTTGTGTGTCATATGCCTGAAAATATTTGTCCAAAAATAATATTTATTAACATTTATAATTACAGTCATCAATATCAGATACGAGTGTTAGACAGAGGGATCAAATATCAATTAATACACTCTATCAAGAATCCTACCCTATTAAAAATATTAAGTTAACTAGGACGAATTAATTACAACAATATATGTTGTAGTACATAAAAAAATGCCTAAAATACATGCGTAAACTGAATTACCAACCTAATAACAATATATGTAAATTTTATACAATAGAATGGCTATACATTTAGGAGTGAGTACGCTAAAATTGTTCAGCCGAGTGTATCGATTAAACAACCCATTAATCATTAGCAAGTCCCTCGTGAAGCCTGTTTGTTTATTCCATAACCAACTTCGCGATAGAACCTAGTTAGTTTTCAACAACATGTATAAATAATGCTACACACTAAATTTTTATGACAACACTAAATTTTAAATGTGTGCAGCTATGCTTATAGCGTTAGATATTTGCCCTAATTTACTATTTCCATACTTAAAATTAGCTCAAAGGGTATTTTAGCAAAACTTGTCTTCAATCGGTGACTGTTAAAATTTTTAATCGTAGCCGAGGTTAAATTAAAATGCCTGGAATCGATTTATGACCATTTTATTTAAGATGTATGTTTAACACAACTCAATACATATTTCAAATTAATCTAGCGAAGACAACACAATGTATGTTTTACTAATGTATGTTTACTAGAATAGAAATTGGTTTAAAATGGAAAACCAGAAACAAGAAACATAATATATGAACCATAACTATAATGGTATACATTCTGTATGTCTTTTTCTTAAAGAAGCTTTCCCATGTCCCATTCAGGAAAACAATGCCTGAATAACCGAAATCCAAGTCGGCAATACACAAGTTTCTCCTAGGTAACCCAATAATGGCCGGGATTTAAAATGTTGTTTTTTTAATTTATTTCAATAAAAGCTAAAATCCCTTGTGCCAAAAGGAGTCAAAATCTAAATCTATAATGTTATACATACATACATATTCTTTAGTTTTAAGGTGTGAAACAAACTTTAAATTTAAACTCTCTAAATTCGTTTAACGTCTAACGGTTTCAGCAAACTGCCAACAGGTATATAGGTATATATAACACAACCTGCTGCTTTGATATCGTCCGAAGTTACGGAAAGCTAAACATTTCGGTTTTATGGAATGTATATGAATGCTTCAGTTGATACGAATTGATATTTAATACAGATGTATTTAATCTAAAAGTAACGAAAAATACACATAAGTTATGTGTATTTTTCGTTACTTTAAACGATTTGTCCATTATTTAATCCTTACTAACCTTACAATATGGTCTTATTTACATCCTCGCAGTTTCATATATGGTCACTGCTTCGATTTTAACTATTGTATCGTTAGGTTCAAACAATCTATCACTTTTCTCAAGCATTAAACTATCAACTTGTCAGAACAAAACAAGAGCATTAATATGCACGTGAGTTATATAGGTAATTTATTTTGATTCGAATTCAAAAATATTATGTTACGTTCTTTTTCTACAGACGGTCAAACTCTCCCCCTGAATCGACGGCAGAAAGTATACCCAAATGGCACACTAATCGTAGAGCAGACACAGCGAGGTGAAGATGCTGGGACTTACACTTGCCAAGCGTCAAACCGCCAACGACATGCTGCAAGAAGAGACGCAGAAGTACAAATATTAGGTAACATATATGAACTATATCTATTATAAAAATATTGGTAAATACCTACCATATAAATATATTAATTGAGTACCTCCAACAAAATATATAAGCAACAAAATTACTTTATAAAATTAATGAGGTTTGGCTATTCCTTTAATTATACGATTTGAAGGCCACATCATGCACATACTTCTAATATATCACAGATTGAATGGTTTTAAATTGTAAGTTACCATACTTTCTACTTAGATTCATTCTTTAACGAGTTTGAAAAACCCGTTCTGACTATTCACAATATTGTCTTTGCACTATTCATACCTGAAATTAAAGCTTAACCTTATTTTCTGTTCCAATATTGAAAGCTCTATAATCACGATTCCAAGAGGGGCGGTGTGGTCGTCCGTAATTCATTAAAGTTAGCACGTTTACCATTACCGCGGCATCTAGCGAACGTTTAACTTCCAGCTCTCCGCAGTTAATAGGGCAATAAAATAAAAATATAAAAAAAATATGAAAGGAATCATAACAAAGCACCCGTCCAAAATTTCGAAATGAGGTTTGCAAAATCAAGGCATGAAAGGGTCTTAAGATTTCAGTTTAATTAACATTTAGGCAGCTAAAAAATAAATGAGGAAATTAAGTGTGTCTACGTAGGGAAATTGCGCATAAACTTTCATATTTCTGCGTGAATAATTTGGGTAGGGTGATTTCATACACTTGTTCAGTTTTTATTCATGTTGGTGTAAAGAAAGGTCTAATTTTGTGACATTGGTTTGTTATGCTAATGCTACCCAAAATTTTTAGAAAAGCGTAAAGAAGGTGGCCTTATTTCATGCTCTATTAGTTGTTTATTAACACCAATGTTTATAATAAAACTGAATTTTGATACAGTAACACTAATACTATTACTACACAAGGTATAAAATAGGTTTTAATTCTTTTTAATTCCGAAATATTTAGTTAGACAGCAACATCAAAACAAAACTTAAAGTCAAAGATGAAACCTGATTGCAAAACCGTATTTTTACTGAAATTAGCAACATAGCCAGAGCCACTCACAAAATGTGAATGTTTTCCTTATGCATAAAATGTAGCACCTCATAAAACATACCACAAAATTTGTTCATATAAGCATTCTACCCAAACAGAGGTAAATTTTTCTTACGAAAAATTAAACAAACCGTTACTTTTGCAGTTCAACCTAAAATTCTACCCATACCGGCGCTAACAAATTTATTACGGGAAGGTATGAGAGCAGCCATATCATGTCAGATCTTAGAGGGTGATTTACCGGTTGCGTTTCGGTGGGAGAAAAATGGGCAGCCTGTGACATCATCACCGTACGCGCCGAGCGGGATAATAACACGTAGAATGGATGAATACAGCGCCTCGTTGGTTATTGAACAAGTGACCTCCCTCCACAGTGGAAATTACACGTGCATTGCTTCAAATGTAGCGGGCTCCGAGCGCTATACTATACCGCTTACTGTCAATGGTAATTCGTCATATCATAATATGATTTACTTTCGTCAGTTTTTTTAAAGGCTTTACTTTATTTACCTTTATTTTGTATTTAGTCCCTCCTCGATGGAGATTGGAGCCTAATGACGTGGCAGTGGCAGCGGGACAAGACGTCACTTTACAATGCCAAGCAGATGGTTATCCAAAACCAACTATCACTTGGAAAAAAGCAGTAGGTAAGTACGAAACAGATTGAAACTTTCTTTACTAGTCTCATTCGAAATATCTAGATTTGATATCCATTGCTAAAAGTACATTTAAGTTACTTTGTATTCCATGTTTACCTATTTACTTATCTCTAATATTACTGCACCAAATTCTCTATGGCAAGAACAGGTATCTAAGACTATAGTACTCCAATACTCTTATCTCAATACTTTTCAAGCCAGTTAAAACAATATTTATCTCTATTTTAAAACACAATTTACATGAAAATGCTGAAAGTTAGTAAAATTTTGAACAGGTAACACACCAGGGGAATACAAAGACTTCATGTTTGAAGGGAGCTCAAGAGTCTTGGAGAATGGCTCACTTGTATTCGAGCGTGTAGCCAAAGACAGTGAGGGGCATTATCTTTGCGAAGCGAGAAATGACATAGGCGCTGGACTGAGCAAGCTCATTTTCTTAAAAGTAAATGGTATGTTATTTAAAAAGTTTTTTTTTTCTAATTCATAAAACGCTAATAACTCGAACACTTGCATTTAAGATTTTATATTAGATCATTTGCGTGATCAAAAGAATTCTCTGATTTCAATCTTTTTCAAATTCGGTCAGTCAATTTGGCAAAGGAAATAGAATTTGTACAACGAATCATACAGCTATACCTACGTTGTGTATAAAAGAAAGGAGGCAAAGGAGGCTCTTTGTCGAAGGTCTGTTGAAAAGTTGTGGAATGTCTTGATGGAGGATCCGTCGTCGCGATGAGTTTCGCCGGGGACAAGCCCGGTCTGTACTCAAATGAAAATTCTTTTCCGTCATTACTGTTTTGTTGAGGAGACGTGGAGCTGTCCTTAGTAAAATAAATGTTAGCAACGTATTGTTCCTTGACTATTGCGTTTGAGGTTATATTCTTTATGAAAAAGAGCGAGGGATGAGATGACATAAACTTTGAATACAAGTTTTCAAAATATCTGAAATGGATAAAAAAAGAATTATCTTTCCACTGGCATGGGATTTAAAAGTGCTATGGAATCACATGCATATACACATATACACATCCGAACTGTTTGTTTGGAAACATATGTGTCCCGGTTGCAGGTAATAGGCTTGTAGTAAGTAAAATGTGGTCATTGTGGGTGCCTCACTCTACCACTTCAGCGATAAAGACGTGAATGTATGAATGGTGTATGGTGAATTGCTTTTACTGGTGTATGGTGAACTTATATGGGAGCTTAGCAATTGAACCATTGCGCGTTGAATAAATAAATTTAATAAGTTGTTGCAAGAAAATAGTTTTAACACAAAGTACTTATTGTAAAAAATATTTTTATGCATTAAAGTGTGAAACAGGAACACTCCAATACACTTTTCGTCTTGCTTACCTCTATTGGATTTTACTTTATTCTATAGAATTTCACGCCGCTCACCGATAATTTTCTCAAATTGCTGAACTGGCGCCGTTTCTATTGTTAGTACTTACCAATATAAAATTAAAGGCAGTCCATTTTCTCACCACTTTACCAAGCACAGCCGGTTGGTACTTTCAAACTTCATTTAGATTGCTCCGAGTTCAGACTTACATTCAATTGATAACTTTTATGAAAACTTACTGTGGTAGCCCAGTAAGTTTTTCAATTAGTTGTGGTTATAGTTTGTTGGAAGTGAAATATAAAGTGATGCTTGGAATTGCTTTTCTAAGATGTTACATTCTTTGATTATTATATGCTCCGTCCTTAATTTACTTAGCCATAATCGCAAATGATACCTATAGCAAATTTGTATGTATGTTATTCTTTTTTTTATAGTTGTATTTCTACCTGTAACTTTCCCTAAAAATAGTAAATAAAAAATAATGTAGGAATTCACCTACTCGTAACACTGCACAAAAAAATATGTTTGCCATAATAACTATTCTAAAGTCTAAGCAAATATAAGGCAAATCTAAGCAATTATCATCCTGAAAAAATGCTTTTATCCTCAATTTTATATAATTAAAATGTGAAAATTCATGGCATCACCCAAGATGTTTAGAAAAAAATAGGAAATTTTCACGTCATCAAGCAATTCCCGTACAAATACATAGTTACGTATCAGTGCTACCGAACGTCTTGACACTCATAGAGTACACAATACACTAAAATAATATGTTGCTACAATTCTTGTTACTTTGAACACTTTAAATTAAAAAGCAAGGCAGTGTAGATGCCATATTGATGTACTTCTATTTGTAATGTATTCGATTGCAGCCGGGTGCGATATGAGAACCGAGCGCGTCTGTACAGAAAAATCAATGACCGTAGGTCGCTCTTTATTGGAAAACGAGACAGTTGACTTCCCTTAAAATAAGTTCGCGGAACGTGTTTGCTTTCACCGATACTGTTTATTGTTACCAAGCAAATTTGAATAAATATTCAACCGTCAGATTTCTGTTACGATGCAAGGATCCTTAAGATACTTTTCATTCAATCATTTTCTTAAAATATAAAACGTTACTTATCGCTTAAGATGTTATTTATGTATTTGTTAACGGTAACATAGTAGATTGTGCAAACAACAGTAAAAGTTTGTTCGATTGTGGCGGGCAGCGCAGGCTCCTAAGCCTGTCACGTCCGCAAGCAGTTTGTAAACAGTTCCGCCTCGAGCCGTAATCGTATTTCCCGCTTGTTTATTTCGGTTTGACACAAGGTTCACCAGGATTTACACACGCCCCAGTTTGTTTACGTTCAGAGAACCTATATAAATAGTTTAAAACTTCTCTCTTTAGAAAATGTTAAAATAGAGTACATTTTTAATACTAAATACTTCGCAAATATGACTGTTATATTTTAAACGGGTAGTAAATCATAAGAATGTGAGGGTTTCGTAAACAAGGTACTCGCCAATAAATAACATCGGCCCTATACAAGCACGACATAACGAGCCCTTCTTTATGGTAATATTTTTTCCTCACTTGTGCCGCCGCATTGCCGAATAAAAGGAAATAATATTCGCTGAAGTGAGGTTTTCGGTAGCCGTAATAACCTTAACTTCTGATTTTGTCATTTTTGTTAATATAGAAAGGTAGGGAGATTCCTTGTATGTTTTATGTAACAGCGAGTATATTTCACAAATATAATTCAGACATGACCCATTAGCAAATCTAAGCATAGTTACAGCTTCAATACATCACTTAGCCAATTCACGTTATGATCTAATTAAGTTTTAACACTACTACTACATTCAGTTCTTATTGTAATATCTTTCTTTTTTTAAATAGATATAAGTATCTTATTCAAACCAAAATATCCTTTTTATCGCAAAGTCCATTTCAAGTTTATCCATGACAACATGAAAAATGTCTAAGGTTATCGAGAGTTTATGGCTAACCTTTTACTGTTCCAGCGGTACGCTTAAAGAATGTGTTATTAGTTCACAATAGGCGAGAGCAATTAATATAATCAATCAAAAGATTTCATTGGTTTGACGTTAACAATTTGCTTTTGAATAAAAAAAAAACAAGTGTATACGGTTCACCGCGCCAAACGTCAAGCCTGTGAAAACCACTGTGATGAATAAGGATGTCGAGCTAAACCATGTGGATACAACGATATTTTTAGGAATAACATTAGATTCTAAGCTACAGTGGGGCCCACATGTAGATGAATTATCGAGTAGACTCAGCTCAGCAGCGTACGCAGTTAGAAAAATTCGAGAATTGACTGATATTGATACAGCACGATTTGTTTACTTCAGTTATTTTTATAGCATAATGTCGTACGGTATTCTACTGTGGGGGAATGCTGTTGATATTCAAACTATTTTTGAATTGCAAAAGAATTCGAGCAATTTATAAATAAGGCAATCATTGTTTATTAGGGCATTATTTGAAGAAATAAACATAACGTTAGTGGCAAGTCAATATATATATGAAAATGTATTATATATTCATAAAAACAAAGATATCTTCTTGAAAAGAAGATGCTTTTAATATCTGAAATAGAAATAAACTTGTAGTACCTGCCATTAGGATTCAAAAGATAAACAAGTCATTTCGAGGTCAATGTGCCCGATTCTATAATAAAATCCCAAATAGTATATAAGATTTTAGTATAAACAATTTTAATGCCATAATAAAACGTATACTATGTGAAAAAGCCTATTACTCAGTTGTGGATTACATAGAAGACAAGAATGCTTGGGATTAATTAAGCACAGGCTATTTCGTAGTGAAAATGTGGTGTGGGCTAGGGTGCCTTTAATTAAATTTTTCATTTTTTTTTATTTTACTTCACTTTCTTTTTTATTCCATCTATTTTCTATATCTTGTTTTCTCTTAATTTCCTTTTTACTTTTTAGCCCTTAAAACTTACATACTGGCATACATCAAAACAATGTTGTGTATATTTAATGATGCCATTGTTATCTGTTGATTGAAAAGAGTGGCCGTGAGTTGGTTTGCCCTTTCTTCTCATGAGGCTCAACCTCTTGGAAATGAGCTGTTATAGATCGGCACATTCATTCACGAATTCACCACCCACGTTCATCGGGACTGAGATTGTATATCCCGTGACTATTAAATATCAAGACCCTACACAATCGCGAGATATACAATTTCAGAGAATATTATCTACACACTGATGCGGAAGTGTATCGCAATGTTATTGCAATGGAAACCGGATTCACTCCGCTCGGTCTGTCTAAATACAATTGGCGAAAATAATATACTAATGATCGCAAGGAAGTATGGAAGCGCAAAGAGCTCAAGCCATGGCCGGTTTTATCGGCCCTAAATGGGTCCGAAATAGACTTAATAGCATCTACGGCTTGGCTACAGTATGGTGATCTCTTCAGAGAAACTGAAGGTTTTGTTTGTGCGGTCATGGACGAAGTTATCATGACGAATAACTATCGGAAATATATCTTGAAAGATGGTAGCATTGACATCTATCGGGCATGCCTCCGTCCTGTGGAATCAATTAGGCATATTATTTCTGGCTGTTCTCGTCTCGTGAATATTTGCAATGGCACAACCGAGTAGCTGGGATCGTACTCGTACACCAACAGCTTGCCCTTAAATACTAACTTATGTATTTAGAGGTGCCATACTACAGGTGTGTGCCCGAACCAGTTATCTAGGATGGTCTGGTCATGTTGTATTGGGATCGATTTATCTCCCGAGATTGTCGATGTGTGGTATGTCGATTCAGTGATCATTGTTTCGATATTCGTATCTGCTCACGGATGGATAACCAAGAGCTTGGCCACCACCTTAAGAGGCTCACGTTAGACAGCTGGTTCAAGGGTCTGATACAGAAGGCAGTTCTCCTTAACACGGCCCGTAAAATGAGGAGGTTCCTATCTCTGGAGTCCTAACCACCGGTGTCTTGGTCCCTATACCCGATGTGGGTGGTCTACTATTTTTTATATTTTTAAATATGTATTTTTATAAAGTGTATATTTAAAAATATAATTGATATGTATATAAAATAAATAAAGAGAATAATAATAATAAAGTATTTGTACCGGAATCGCTTGATGTTAACGGAAAAAAAAACGCTATTTTTTTTGCAAAGCGTCTTATATGATGCCATGAATTTTCCTATTTTAGAATACATAAGTATTTTTATTACTGTATGTAATATATACCAAATGTAATAATGAGGGAAGTCATAAAAACTTTTTAATGAGGATGTTAGTGTTTTGTAAAAAGACAATACAATAAACTTAAAGCTATATCATCGTCTGGCAAGTTAGTAGCAAGTAAAGTAACATAACTTTAAAAAACATTTAACAATAACATAATAATAAATAATATTTACTCATATAGCGCCAGCGAGATTTCCAATGAAGAGCAAAACAGTGCAAGTTACAGCGGGAGAGGCGGCGCATTTGCAATGTGCTGCCTCAGGAGACGCGCCACTAGAAGTTAGTTGGCGAAGCCCACACCATCATACAATTGCTCATCATTTGGACCAAAGGTACATTTTAATTTTTGATTTCCCTTTTCTATTATTCCTTCTCATTGGTTATTCCAGTTTAATTGTCAAATCAGCAGATGCAATGCTTTTACCAGTGCCTATAAACACTCAAGATACCAATAAAATTGAGCGTAATCAGTCCCTCCAATGACGTTCTACTTACCTGTAAAATACTGGGATCACGCTAATAGTACTGTCTAACCCTTGCTTCTGTAGTCGGAACTTTCTTGAAAAGCCGCACAACTCCATCGTAACTAAAAGTATGCTGAGACCTAGTCCTTACCGTACACACATCATGTAATTTTTGCTTGTAAATAACATTTTAAATGCGTAATTTCTTATTAAACGTATAACTTTAGTCGTTCCAGATTTTCCAGTTTGGTTAAACTTTAGTCTTTGTCACTGTGCAAAAAAAAAAGTTTTTCCACTTGGTGAAGTAAATTAGTTGGGCACATCTAATTTATTGACTGCCTTTTAGTAATCATTAGTCATTCTTAAATTAACTTATAAGTTTTTAATTATGTTTATGATCTAGATACACGATCCGGGAGCAGGTATTAGACGATGGCCTAGTTTCTGAGTTAAGTATATTACAAACATACAGACAAGATACAGGCGCTTTGACGTGCAGAGCGTCCAACGCATACGGACAGGATGAAATGCTTATACACTTAGTAGTACAAGAGGTAAGATATTTAATCATTAAATTTTATTTACACTACTCAAATTATATTTCTCTTATTTATTGAATTACAGACTAAAACTTACCTACTTAATAAAAGACCTTCTTAAAAATTCAAACAAGTATTCACCCTCCATTACAATCAAAAGTTATCTATTCAAAAAACCTTAAACCCAGACCAGTTTGTGCTAATGTGTCTATCAAACCCAGAAACGCGATATGTATTCTTGATTCATGTCATGTCTTTCGTTAAAATAAAGGTGTTAATGATTTCCTCGGCTTGCAGGTTCCAGAAATGCCAAAAAACATTCGAATAATCGACCAACAGTCAAGATCTATCCAAATATCATGGACGCAGCCGTATGCTGGCAACAGCCCTATTATTAACTACATCGTACAGTACAAGGAGGCTCCAGGTAAAATTGCAACAGCAAAGAATACCCTTTTTTTCTTTTCTTTTTTCTGTGCGGAGATCCCCTCGGATACTACCCACCGGGGGCTACGTCGGACTCGAACCGCCTAAAAACCGCAAGCCGTCTCGGATACCAGTAGCCAGGGAACCAGGTGTACCCTAGAAAGGAAATCCTTGGTGCCCCGAAGTACCTCGGGCCATCTACGGCGGGTAGATGAACCCCTCCTATGTGGGAACCCCCATGTTCCCTTTGTGCTCCCCGGCCTGCTTCTGCTAGGGTGACAGATGGCCTCACCTGTCACCCCGCGCTTAAGCGCGCCGGACTCGTCTGCGGTACCTGGCCAGTGCCCGGGCCTGGCAGGCCGGGAAAGCGCAAATACCCTAGGGTATTCTCTGCAATTTATCAACTCATTATTGTGATAGGCTAATTATGTAATTTTACCTTTTCAACTCGCTAAAATGATATGATTCGTGATTCGACTATGAAATCACTCGCTTTATTTATTTTCATTTTTTAACTGACTCTTCGAAGATTTCCAATTTGGTTGTATTTTATTTAAGATTGCTACCTCACAACTCCGTCGTTTATGAACGATGGTTACCTTTAATTGCCCAATATTTTCTAACTTTAAATGCTTTTATAAATGAACTAAAAATATAAATAAAATAATACAATTAAAATATTTCCATTACTTACATACAAGCATCAAAAAACTCTTCCACATCATCACCTACTTGTAGCGTTCCCAGAAGACTGGCAGAAAAAAGAGGGTTGAATTTTTTTTTGCGACTTTTTGATGCAGCAGCAGCGCCGGCATAACCAGTTGTGCTTGTGTGATTTGATTGCGCAAGGGTGTCGACGCAAGTTGCGTCCCACACCGTAGGCTTACCATCTTCCATGGCAGTAACGACATACATATATTTATGAAATGACTGGGAAATTTCTTTTTTTGGAGGATTTTTTAATTTAGGAGAGTCTACATTCAGTTTAGTACCATTCAAATTTGAAAAGAAGATACACGCCACATAAACGGTAGAAGAAAAAAGTAAAGAATAATGCACTTTTTACAAATCATCATGACGTAGCTAAGTTAGTTATATATATATACGAGTATAGTGTCATTCTATATGATAAGAAACTAAAAAAACCTCTATATCTCCCGGAGATAAAAATAAAATGTAGAAAACTAAGCACGTTAGGATTTCATTTGAGAGATTTCACGCGTCTTTTATAAGTTATCTACAACTGAAATAGAGTTAAATTTGAGTTGAAATGGAATATTTGTAGGTTTATAAGTTTAAAGTTATTATTTATGTATTATGTACATATTTGGCCGCTTTCCATTTAATATAATAAATGTTTAGCTATTTCAACTAGAAAAATATTTAAATAAGCATGACGTTTGACGTACTAACTCCACAGCTTAGATTGAGCCTTTAGAATAATGACAGCACAATGCCTTTGTTGAAGGCAGATGTGTAAAGTCCTTTTCAATTTGTTATATAACAGAGGGCAAACAAACAGACGGGTGATGGTAAGTGACTACCGCCATGCTCATGTACCGGCAACTCAAGAGACATAAGTGTGGTGCCACGATTTGGGTATCTGCCCCCCATCCCTACCCCCACCCCATATTAACTCCGGTAACCTCATACGATCGATCGGTGAAAAGCAACGAACAAAAATATTAACAATACAACCACAAACAAAATCTGTCATTTAAAATTCTGTGATTTTAAAGGGCGCACAACCTTTATAAAGTTATCGGCGTAGACACATGATTAAATATTCAGAGTCTATAAGTACCCGACCTGAGGCTTCTTAAGCAGTTTAGACTTGTTCCTTAAAGTTACGGTGTCTCTCTCTTACCTGTAGTTTGTTTCTTTCCACCCTTCTTAATACACCATAACAAAATGACTCAGATTCCTGGCCAACAACACCGCAGAAGGTTATTGTTCCTGGGAGCGTGACTTCTGCTAGTGTACAAAATCTTCAACCAGCTACGTCATATCACTTGAGGATTATTGCGGAAAATAGACTCGGACAAAGTGAGCCCAGCCAGCTAATACAAGTCACTACTACGGAAGAAGGTTAGAGAAGAAAATCTTTAATAGTATAACGAATTGAATACATAAGGGAGAAATTTATTGTTCGGCACTTTGTTTGTTTATTTCCAAGAAAAGCCCTTTAATAAGTTTTCGAATTTCTGTCAATTAATTTACAAAATGCCCAAGAATAAGCTTTACTTTTGTTAATTAAGAACCTTAAAGGCTTGCAATGTTTGTTGTTATTGTATACATAAACCCTTTTTGTTCCCCCAGTTCCAAGCGGCCCGCCACTCGATGTTAGAGTTGAAGCCAAAAGTTCCACAGAATTAATCGTCAGCTGGGAACCGCCGCAAAGGGACCTATGGAATGGAAATATATTAGGTTACTACGTAGGATTTCAAGAGGTGAGGCAAAATAATAAAATAACTAGTATTTTGGTAAATATTAATTTGTACCTACTTCTACTTATATATTCTTAATAGTAAGGCTTTGTAAGCCTCGAGACTGAGGTATTTTATACTAGTCATTACGCATATTTTAGTCCTATTAGGAACCGTTAATTTTTAACTACACTTAATTGCAACTTATATTTCGAGGCTTGAACCACGCATACTTATCACATTTTTCGAACTATGAATACCATGCATTACAGTCGTCGCGTCCCTAAGCGGCAAATTTAATGGAATAATCCATTAAAATTGCCGCTTAGGGACGCGACGACTACTACATCGCTATTCACCTTATAGAATTCTTTCTTCTGGCCCAAAACTAATCTTAGTTCGCCTAAGAACACATGTTAATACAATCACATATATTCAATAACTATGAAAACCACCAAGTCAATCGTTGGATCTTTCAACTTTAAATTAGACAATCGATTCCAATGTCTTGCGACTGGCCTGTTGGTCTAGGGGTTAGCGACCCTGACTGCTAAGCCGGAGGTCGTGGGTTCGATTTCCATCTAAATATTGTGTCATGATCACGATCATTTGTGCTCTGTCTGGGTGTAATTTATCTATAATATATATGTATTTAGAAATATATAAGTATGTTTATCAGTAGTCTGATTTACCATTGCAAAGGCTCTGCCTAGTTTGGATCAGGCTGCGAAATTTGTGAAGTTGTTATTATTATTATTTCATTAAATACTATTTTGAAATAGTAATAATCATTAACAAAGGTAATCTGGAAAAGTGGTGCTTGAAAGTGAGACAGCTAAAAATGTACCCACAGCTAAATAGTAACAGTACTGTCCTGAGTGCAAGTGGTCCCGGCGGTGCTTCGTACACTGTCCGAACAGTGGAAGGAGCCGGTAGTGCCCGCGCCCGCACCACGCTGTTGGGCTTACAGAAGCACGCCGCATACGCCGTCGTTGTGCAGGCTTATAACAGCAGAGGCGCCGGCCCTGCTTCACCACCTACCACTGCCACTACTATGGAAGATGGTAAGGCTATCTCACGACTTACATATGCTATTTATAAATTAATATACACTCAAAACTAACGTGTGTCAACTTTCGTATTAATTTTGCATATTCCGCTCTTTATATAATATGAAAATATTTGTTAAAAATTTTGCCAACACGCGCACTCATATGTTATTGAAATACGAATTTTATTTCAATACACATAATATTCAATTCTTTAAAACAATAAAACTACTACAATTATGAAATAAGATATTTTTGGAAAAAAATCAGTACCGTTTTCTTCAATCAAATCACTTTTACTTCTGAAGCAATTTCCATTTTTTTTAACAATTTTGGTATAAATCTAGTTCCAAGCCTACCTCCGGGAGCTCTTCAATGCACGGCTTTGAGTTCACAATCGGTACGCGTAGCATGGGAACCGCCACCTCTTCGAGGGAGAAATGGTGTACTGCAAGGGTACCGAGTTACCTATGCACCCGTTACGGATTGGTTCGGTGAGTATTAAATTGAGATACGACTGGCATATCCTATCTTGTATTTTAATTTATAAACGTCGATAGTAATAGTGCATGTTCAAGGATTACTAGCGTTTCCGCATTTATTTATGATCACTGTAACCTAAAAGGTTACTCGAAAACTGGATAATGAAGGGTGTTTTTTAATCAGACGATTGTTTTAAAAGAAGCAAGTTGAACAAAAAAGAATACTACTTAGTCAACCAGACGTAATTAGTATAGAGGATACAAAAATATACTATAGTCCTTTATCTTTTCTCGTTTAGGTAATGAAGATGCAGTGACTAAACAAATCTCGGGTCTACACACTACTCTATCAGGACTAAGAAGGTATACTAACTACTCTGTCACCGTCTGTGCCTTCACGGCAGCTGGCGATGGCGTCAGGGCAGCTCCTGTTTATTGCCATACTGAAGAGGATGGTTAGTAATAGTTCTCTTAAATAACTTTCCTTGCCTTTTTAGTGAATATTGTAGTATCAGACATATGTGTCAATCACATACTTTAACAAATAATTGCTAGTAATGTGGGTTTAAACAGCCTTACTACACGGTGATTTTATAGGCGTTTTGGAAACGAAACATTTTAATTTGGAATCATCTATAGTACCAATAAAAATGGTTCAATCAATTGTAATGTTGACTAAAAAAATGTTTCAGTTTCAATATTCATTTTTACTCGATCGACTTGGAAAGTAGTAATGGACTCATCATTCATTCATTATCTTATATGAATGAAACACGTCCGTGCGCGTTTCGGCGGCCGCTGCGCACCGCTGACGCTAACAGCAGCTGATAAAAGTATACCTATAGGTGCGAGCTAGCGAGTACTTACGTAGATAGACAACAGTTTGTCCTTCATACTTTACACGGGCTTAGGACCGTCGGAAATACCTATTTTATTTAAACTTCTTTTCGATTATTAACCACGGTTGTTCTTTTCACAACAAATCAATTTATCAACGGACTGTAGGTATAAATATTTCAGGCGTATTAAAAAAATCGGAGCTATCTACAGAATAATTAACTTACATACCTATTTACAAATTATTTACACTATTTACACTTCTCTGTATCCAAGCAACTACTCAAAATGGAGTCCGCTGCGTTCAATACACAAACGTCCACGTTTAATGCAATTGTTTTTTAATTTTCTTAATGTATCTCTATCACTTTTCACTTTATCAAAAGCGTCCACTATCGCAATGCGTAAATCATCACGGCTTTCATATTCCCGTGTATAAACAAGTATTTTATAAGAAAAAATCCAGGGGCGTTAAGTCCGGGCTTCTAGGTGGCCAAGGCACAGGCCCTCCTCGACCTATCCACCGATCACTAAACTCATTGTCCAGGTATGCACGCACTACACTCCGGCGAATAATAATTTAAACGTCCTTGACCTTGCGCATGAGTAGGCGCACGAAATTGTCCGTGGTCGAGAAGACGTTGGGTTGCAGCCAAGATGGTAGGTGTGGAGGGAATTTGAGGGCTTTCAATTCCACGTAGCCGTAGTGCATTTAAATGCTCCGGCTGGGAATACAAACGCCGAGCCTCTTCCAAGTTGTAGTTGGCAGTAGCGTACAGCTGTACCATTGCCAAGTACTCCACGTTTGAAAATTCGTACTGTCGACTCATTTTAGCGCTAATCAATGTAACGTGCCGTCATGATGTTATGGTATTACTGACCGACTGAAAGCGAAGGACGCCTCACGATTACAGGTGAGTCCCGCGCATGCGCCTACGGGGCATTCTTCATTGGTTGGACGACTCCGGCGCAACTCGGTAGCTTTGTTTTTATTGGCGAATACGATTTTATGTGACTCGATATTAAAACGCCTAGTACCTATTTCCGTTTGTAGTATTTACCTACGTGTGATTGAATAGCCCTACTACTGGTTCTCACTTTTTCTCTGTAAACGATATGAATATCGACTTTGATGATAAAAAAAATATTTATTTTATTAAATTTACGTTATATATAGCTTATGTTATTGATAAATAATTCAAAATTTTATTTTCCAAAACGCTTTCAAAATCACCGTGTATTTTGCATGTGGTACGAAAATTATTTACTGTTATTATTTCAGTACCTTCAGCACCTGCTGATATAAAAGCGGTTGTTTCTTCAAGAAATAAGATCCTGGTGTCGTGGTTACCACCTGCCTCGCCAAATGGGGTCCTCGTGGGTTATACTCTTTACATGAGTGTTATAGAAGATGGAAGAGAGGTTTGTAACACATATATAGGAAATAATATACGAACCTAGTTTTTGAAACTTTTAATAGAAAGTTGTAAAGTCAATCGTAGGTTCCCTTTTTAAGGATAGGCGGCAGTCACTGTTTTAAGATACTTATTATTCTTTATACTTGTTAATTACTTAATTCATTGTTCTTATTGTTAACATCATGGACTCTTAAGAGAGAGACCTACAAAACATATCTATTTCTAGAACTTGTCTGTCTGACAATCTTGGTTACAGTTTGAGATTTACGTTTATAATATTATTGTTCGTCACATACAAATTATGTATACAATAATTTATATTTACTGAATAAAAACAATGTGCTTTTTGTGAACAGTCCTTGGTATAATACCATCTACGACTTGGTTGAAGTATATGTCTTCATACTTTTTTCTGTAGGAAGGTACTCATAAACGTATGCTGTCACCGAGTACATTGTCCCATGAGACATCACGATCACCTCCAAGAGCCACACATCAGTTTTGGGTGTCGGCATCAACAAGACTGGGTGAAGGCGAAGCAACACGAGTTGTTACCGTATTGCCGTCCGAATCAGGTTTGTTTTAAATTAGTTTCCCAAGTACCAAACACCTCCTAGGAAAAAAGTAGGATAATTGTCAATTTCTTCACTTATAAAGGGGATTTAAATCCATTTGATATCTCGAACCAGAATTTTTTCATATCGTATACTCGTTTGCCGATCAAAGTTTAGAAATGTGACACATAATTTAAATAACCTCACAATACACACAGTAATAAATAACTAAAATGATAAAAAATACTTACATAAATTTTGAGTTACTGTCTACATGTAAGGACACTTAATAAGATTTTTTTTTTACTATTTTTGCTATTGACATTTTATTTAGTTTTTGGTCCAACTCTCACGAGTTGCCTTGTGAGAGTTGGACCAAAAAACTTTGAAGAATTGAATTGTACTTTGTTGTTAATACTTAACATGCCTGTTTATTTCAATGATAGCAAAGAAGCTATCATATCATTGAAATTTTCACATAAAACTCAAGCGAGTTAAGCTAGTCATTGAATTCGTAATTAATTGCACGAATTGTATTGCAGTTATATGGATAATCAGAAATCTTACAAACTATTACGTTTATAGATACAGTTCCCACTCAATACCTATCCAGCTAAGTTACTGATATTAAATATTTGCTATTCAAAAAAAGCTCGTTTTCTTGCAGTACCTGCACGGATCACATCATTTAGTAGGAGCATAGTGACACCTTGGAAAGAGAACATTTCCCTTCCGTGTAACAAAGTAGGAGTGCCAACTCCATCCACCACGTGGAGTATGAACGGGGCGGTGTTGGAGTCCACACTTAGGAAGAATGTGACCAACGATGGGTCTCTAATCATTAGGTAAACCCTGTTCTTTCAAATATGATGGTAGTATTTGTTGCCTTAGGGACATTTCAATTGGTGTAAAACTGTCAGCCCATTACAATGCTGTTTGCACATGCACAATACCTAAATGGCCTAGTGAGTTTAAATGTTTACTTTTTTAACAGCATGACGCAATACTTGGACACTGGTAACTACACATGCTCAGTTGAAAACGTACACGGCCGAGATGACGTCACGTACAGCGTAGAAGTGAAGGTGCCACCACAGCCTCCTGTGTTAGCCGTCGTCGACTCATACGCAGACTCGCTACATTTGCAGTGGAGCGATCAGGGTGACGGGGGTAGCCCTATTTTAGGTAATTACCTGTTACTAATTTTTAATATTTAATTTTTAAAATTATTAGATTATGAGTTACAGTTATGCGACCCTCACCTTTTCGAGCTATTGCTTCTACTTCAAAAACTATGCCTACGAACAATATCCCCATTCTTTTATTACAATTTCACCATTCTCACCTGCCATCCTTTTCCTTTTGATATACTTACAATTTTCCCCATACCCATTGGATTGCACCATATTAGGTAAATTAGACCAAATTATACCTGAAAAAAAGGCAAAAGGTGGAGGAAGGAAATACCCCTAAAGGTGGGCGTAGTTGTATACACATAAGACTGTCTGAAGTGGGTTTTGGGTTCAACCCTATTAAATACACTACTGAAATGAACTCTTGCGCTAAATGCATGTATTATAAACACACCCATTTGGATTACTTTGTTAGATTTACCTACATTACAATGTTGTTCTACTACTTCTTCTTAAATACATACGTAAACGAACACTTACGAATGTAAGCCGAAGTCATTCGTAATTTCATTCATCGTGCATTGAGCGATAAAACTTTTTACGCCTTTTTTCTCACGAAAACCGCTTAGCTTATTTACAAATTGAATCACGTGTCTTAACAAACTGATTCTGCAGATTGATTTATCGTTTGAAATAAAATAAAACTTTAACCCTATTTTAAGGTTACGTAATCAACTACAAACGTGAACACGGGGACTGGGAAGAGCTTCAGGTAGAAGCTGGCACCTCAGAACATGTGTTGCCTAACTTGTGGTGTGGCACTCGTTACCAGTTATACATCACCGCATTCAACCGCATAGGCACTGGATTACCTTGCGACATTGTTCACGCATATACTAAAGGAACTGGTGAGTATATGAATTCATAATTTACTTTAATGTGCCCACATCGTTATGAACTGTAATAATCTGTATTCTTCATTCGTAAATTTTCAACCCTTCTGGGTGTTATTTTTTCTTCTTTGGATGGCATCTAAATAGAAGTATGATATGGGGTACACCTACAGTAAGCCAATCCCACTATGGTGGCCATTATGAGGAAAATTTAAATAAGTTGACATAAATTTACAAAATTTTAAACTAAACGGTACAGGAAGGAGGCTCATTTTACATCTTTTTTGAGTCATTAATCTACATTTTTTACTTTTGTCTTCAAATTTTCACATTTTGCTGTTAGCCAATATATTAACAATTCCTCCAATTCTCTTAACTTAACTGCGCTCTGGAGAAGAAGAATACCAACTAAATAAGCACTTAACATGTTTCAGTGCCCGTAAAACCAAAGCACTCCCAAATGATAACTCTGAATACCACAACGGTAACTGTGTGGCTGGATTCATGGGGTGATGGCGGTTGTGGCATACTATACTTTGTCATTGAATATCGAGAGATTAGCCAATCACAGGTACGTTATTAAAAAACTTAGTAACCAAAAAAATTAAATAGTAACTGAAATAATTTAGAACTGGTAAGTAGTCATTCATTTATTAATTAGTAACGCCGATTGAAAAATATTACAAATAAAAGAATTACTCGTTCAAAACAAGACGGAACAAGTTTAGTTTCTGGCGGTCAGAATTCTATTCCTTCCGATACAGGCAGACAATGGCAGGATTTGTTCGAAAACTTTGCTGAAAAGCGTTTTATTCTTAAGCATAAAATTTTCTGCTAGTTACATTCGCTACGACCTAGTAACCTACGTAATTTAATCAACCATATACGGGGAAGTCCCGTAGCGCCGGACGGCACCTAGCGCCGGACACTCATACTATTTTGACAAACGTCAACGCGATCTATTTATAAATCGGTGAAAGGGGTGCGGGGGAACGTAGCGAGACAGGATCACGCAACGCGATTTGCCAGTGAGGCGCACAGTCGTGGTGGAAGCCGTGAATTGCTGTTTTTGGTGGGAAAGCGTTGCGTCACGTAAATTTCAAGTAAGTATTACTGCTATGGTTTTATCCTTAATTGTTTTTGTTATTTGTTAATAAAGACAGTGTTTCACTATAATTATTATATTGTGAAAGTTTTTATTAAATACCTAAACAGTTTTAGTATGAAATACGTAATTTTGGACGTTTCCTGTCCCCTACTTTCGGACACAAAGGTGTCCCTTACCACCGGACAGTTTATAGGTTAGCTTTTTTATGAAGCATTTGTACTTATTGTAATGATGATTGTTTGTTGTTTTACAGGATAGAAGGAGAGAGATATTTGAAAATGCAAGAGAGTAAAAAAAAGGAAAATGGGATCAGCAAAGTTTAAAAACTGCGATGAACAAGATTTTGTCCAAAAAAATGAGGGCAGCTTCGTCACGTTACAATGTTCCAAAAAGTACTCTACATGATAAAATAACGACATTGAGCAGTGGAAAAGAAGTCACGTTGCAAACAAAAGTTGGTAGATTCACAAAAACCTTCTCACCCGAGTATGAGCAAGTTTTAGTGGACCACATAAGAGATTTGTCTAATAGATGTCTGCCCCTGATGAAAAACGAGTTTTTGAAGTTAGCTTACGACTTGGCTGAAGCTATGAAGATTCCCCATGAGTAAACAAACCAAACGTGGCAATAACGACAACAAAAAGGAGCCGTTAACTGAAGTATCAAATATAGAAAAAACGACTTGTGTAGTGTGTTTAGAAGACCACGACGAGGACTGGATACAATGCTCCAGATGCCAATAATGGGCTCATGAAGCATGTGCAGACGTTCCAGAATGTGGAGATGCCTACATATGTGATAGATGCTAAAAGTTTTAGAATGTCCGGCGCTTGGGGTTTGAAGATTAACCCGTCCGGCACTAGGTGCCAATGACAAAGTCCTTTATTTTTTTACCAAAACTTATTTAACACTCCTAAACTATGTTTACGCAGAATTTGTATTTTTGTTATTTGATTTTGATTTTATGTTTTGTTAATTTAAGTAATTCATAAATAAATACATATTTCTCGATGTAGTTTTTAATTTTATTTCCTGAAAACCTTATGTGTCCGGCACTAGGGGACTTCCCCCTACTAACTTCCTTTGCAAATGCGTCTCAATTGTCTGTTTAACAATTATCTTTCAACAATAATTATTTACTATTAACAGTGGCGTCTAGTATCAAACAGCGTGCAAGCGACCGAGCGCGTGTTTAGTGTGCCGGGCCTGACGCCTGCGACGCACTACCAGCTACGCATTACTGCTCACAACAATGCGGGCCACGCCGTCGCACTCTACAACTTCACCACGCACTCCGTCAGCGGCAGTAAGCAATGTAGATTGCATTGTGAATTATTATTGCTATTTTTTAGATAATTTTTCAAACCCCTTTAACTAGGGTAATTCCGACCATTTACAAACATGCAGTCAACGGACAAAAGTACACTAAGAGCAAATATCTGTTAATCACACGAACAACAATTGTCCCTTGAGGGTCCACAACAACAGAAACTACAACAGACGCATTGATTGAAATATAATACAAAAAGCCAATTTCTTACCAACCTCAGATGTCCCTTGAAAATAGCTATGCAATACTTACCTTCTTTTTTTGTCTGTGTGGAAATCCCCTCGGTTACCACCCGCCGGTGGCTATGTCGGACTCGAACCGACTAAAAACCGCACGCCATCTCGGGTACCAATAGCCAGGGAACCAGGTATACCCTAGAAAGGAAATCCCTGGTGCCCGGACGTACCTCGGGTCATCTACGGCGGGTAGATGACCCCCTCCTGTGTGCTGCTATACATGATACACTTTTAATATTTGGCCTCCATTAACGAAATAAAAATATTCGCAGTGGTAGAAGGCGAGGTTTCCCCCGCGGCGCCCGGGTCGGGGCGCAGCCTCGGCGGCGCGCGCGTGCTGCTGCCCGCTGCGCTGTCGCTGCTGGTGCTCGGCGCGCTGCTCGCCATTGTGCTGCTCGTCCGCAGAAACAGTACGTAACACCCGTCTGAACATTCTTTATAAGAATGTCCAGAATGTACTTTTTGTCTAAAGACATAAATATATAGTTATGTAATTTAATAAAGTTATGTAATGTGATATTCAAACATATATTGTACTCGTAATGTGCATCACAAAAACATATTACTTTCCATACAATTTAATAAAAGTAATTTCTGAAGCTCCGTCAACGTACTCAGAGCACAATCGAACCATCATAGCATTCTCCGGGGCCGACAAATATTATGTTTGTACTAAACTAAATCACCATATAACATATAAACTAATCATAATAATTAGGTGATTTACGCCCATCAACAAGGCTCTAGTCACATTGCTCCACAAAAATTACGTAAGGATACGCTGAGTATTGATGCGGATAATGGTTATGAAAAAACTGCTCAATCTTTATCTTCTTAAAAGTAGGTAGATTTCATAACGGAATTGCAAAATAGTCAGTAACACCACTGCATGTATTTAGAAGCAGGTGGTACGGAAACCGTAGCAACAGAGAGCGGTGTCGGTGAATCACCGTCTGTTGCGCAGCTCCAGAACAAAGTGAACCGCGACCAACAGTACCTCGCCGCTCGTGCACAACACCCTGCACCACAGCATCACTACAAACATGCCTCTAATGGTATTTACTTTTTTAAATGAGGTTTATTAAACAATAATTTACAAATGGTCCTTCGAACCGAGGTAGATAAACTGATAGAAAAACCTAAGTAGAGTTTGAAATTTCTAAAAAAAAGTACCAACTGCAACGCCAAATAACATAAGAAAAATCTGTTGATGTCCTTAGGTGGTTTAACACAAATGGTAAACTATAATATGCAGAAGTTGAAACTTGAAATTATCATATCAACAAATAGTGGTCAAAACAATTTATTTTTATATTTTATTAGATTATATGTTATCATTTATTTATTTTATTTAAATTATCTCTGTATATTCGTTCATTTGAACAAAGCTTGTTTATTTTGTATTAGACTAAAATGTTCAGGAGCTCAGCACAAGCAATAAATTCTTCTAGTTTTATAAAATTGATACCTGTAAATTCACTTTATTAAATTTACAGAATACATAGAAGATATATGTCCATACGCAACATTCCAACTGACGAAACCAACAGCGTACAGTGAGAGCAGTTACAGCGGTAACGTATACAGCGGACCCTATCACTCAGTACGGGGCTCCTTCGTATACCACGATCTTAAGCAAAATGACAAGTACAAGGTATTAATAATACAAGAAAATTTTAAAATACGGTTTGGCATAAAAAGGATTGTCCGATAGAATCCTTTTTATGCTTTCGGCTATTCGAAAAAAAACGAATAAATAAAAGAGCAAATGATTAAGATTGTTATTCAAATTATTGATCACTTATACTCGTAATAGCGAAATCAATGTAATATGTAAATTAAGTTTTAATTCTTAGTTTCCAAACCTACACAACAGAATCTAACATCTAGTAGCCTGTCGGTATTCTCTTCACCCTCTACGAGCAGCACGATTTCCATGGAGTCTTCTAACCCTCATACAATTTTTTCACCTTCAGGCCATAAACGAAGTTAGCAGTCTATTTCTATTTGACTAGTCTAATCCTATTTTAATATTAGCATAAATAAATATTGAAGGTATTTATTTCATTTATTTATGTTCAAGTAACAATGCTCTACCCTGCACTCTTCATATAAGAAAATAATTATATATGCCTGCACTTTTATTAACACCAATAAAATAAATAATTGTATATTCAAACATTAATTAGGTACATGCATAATCATAACTATATTTACTAACATTGTTTTGTAAACTTCTCGATGCAGGGGAAAGAGCCAGAATATACGAAAGTAAGAAGAAAAGGAAATAGACTTCGAGACCCGCACTCTGAGAGCCAAGGTAATATAGCTACTATTTTTATAGATACCCCCCACCAGTACACTGTCTCAACTGAAGCTTATATATTATATAAGTAGTTAGTACATATAGTTTTATTTTACGTAGATTGCACTTTCTATTAATTAAGTTTACTTTGTCCCATTTAAGTTTAAGTAATGGAATTCGAATTTGACATAATGATCGCCTTTTATGCAACCTATGGGAGCGTAAATGGTGTTGTAATTTATAAAGGTAAGCATGCACACTGTATGTATTGTGACATACCTTTCGTATTGTTTTATTTCTTAAGCGTAGCACTGTTCATTCATTGTCATGTATTATCTAGTGTGTACGTACCCGCTTTGAGATGTTTGGCGTTAAGTCCTTAATAGTGTTCATTGTGCGCATATCCTACTCATCCCACATGTCAACCATATTTTTATTCATTTATATGTCATTATCATTGCTGTGGAATACGCTATGAAAGATTTATTATTTCCTTTATTGGTTTATACGAAAGTGTATAACTCGAAAGTATTACGTATCCGAAATGTTCTATGTTAAAAATGATAGTAATTACACTTCCGTATTACCGTTTTGTGGCGTATCTACGGCATAACTTTTTATCTACACAGTAGGTTGACTGAACCCGTGATGTTACAGAGTCGGACAACTTGGGATCGACGGACTCGGAGGTGAAGAAGATACTAACGCTGCACCTGCCAATTACAGAGTACGAGGACGATGCGAGCGATGACGCTAGTGCACCACACTCAGATAGCGAGCCCGGCGCCCGCCTTAGACCTACGCATCCTACTTCATGTTAGTTTGATGCTGCCTTTTGTAATAATTATAATATCACTAATTATATAAGTACCTAATTAACAGTTATTTACAATTTGTAAACTATTTAATCAACCTTGACTGTACGAATAGCGTAGTTTTAGCAGTCACCTTGCCGCTTCCTACTGCGCTGAGTGTTGTGGGTTCGATTTCCACATAGGACAACACTTTGTGTGATAAACGATTTATTGGTCTAAGTCTGGGTTCTTTGTGTCCGTTTCATGACTGTTTGTAATATCCCTCACGACACACATATTAAATATATTGGAATGCTAAATATTGTACTTAAATAACCTATTGTAGATACAGGCGTAGAGCGGGAGGAATCATCTTCATCTTCGGAGAACTCAATAGGCGGTATGCAAGTGCGCAAAGCTTTCCCGTCGCGCAAGGGCAAGGCCGGCGCGCTCGGCAAGCGACACGTGCGCTCCTCGTCAGGCTACAGCAGCCACAACGACGAGACCACCTTCAGGTAAACAAGTGTGTGTTGCCTTTGTATACTTACTATAATTACGTATACGTTACATTTGTCCCGTCACAGCAGAAACTACAACGAAACCTAATTCAGGTTCGAAGTAAGTATTGCATTTATTACATTTACATAGCTACGTCCGCGTGGTGGCGGAGGAGAAAGAAATGGAAAACTAGAAAAAAATCTTTTTTTTTAAACATGTGGAAACCCCCTCGGGCCGTCACCCCAGCGAGGTTTGCGGCGGGGCGGTGTGTGGGAATCGAACCGACTAAAACCATACGGTGTGCCACTTTGCGCCTGAGATAGAAGGGGTCCGGGCACAGCTGATATTAAGACATCCGGACCCCTCCCAGCGCCTGCCCGCAACAGCGCGGGCACCACCTTTGGGTAAACTCTCGATTTAGGCGACGTCCGGCACACGCTGTCATCGCCTCCTCACGGCTGGCCACTATAGCGAATTGAGGAGAAAACCCTTCCCGTCCACCCGCAGCCTCCTGAGCCCTCTCCGCCACCTCCTTCTGCGAGATGACGTCTTCGCAAAAGGATGCGACCGCGGTAAAACATCTGCTACTATCGGCCATGGAGCATATGACGGCCGGTAGCGAGAGATCCCCTTCAATGACTGAAATGAGGACCCGACGCTGCGACGCCCGGGCTGGGCAAATCGCCAGCGTCTGATGAGCCGAGTCTTCACTGCAATGGCAGTGGTGGCAGGCGGAACACAATTCCCTCCTAGCGACCGAGTGTATGTAGTACTTCCTGAAGGAGCCATGCCCGTAAAGAACCTGCGTCAGCCAGAAGGAAAGGGTATCGTGCTGCCGACCTGACCACTTGACGATGACCGGCTGAAACGCCTCCGCGACAGCAAAGCCAGCACGTGAAGCCCTCAACCGGGACTACCAACGAGACATCGTGGCTTGGCGGGCGGTCTCACGCCACTCGCGTACATCTTCGTATACACATACTCGTACATATACTCGTACATCGCACTTCCGCCTCCAAATCCCACGGAGGAGTTCCGGCCCAACGCGCACGCCGAAACGGTGTAACCGCGTATGGCTCTAACCGCCAATATCCTCTGAGGGCGCCAGAGGCGTGCCCTATTCTAGGCGGTCAGAGATCCGCCCACACCGGTGCACCCATGCTCTGCGGTCAGTGGCTGTATGCGCACAACGCCAACTGCCGCATTGGAGGTGGCTTTGGGTCTGCTCCCACTGGATTTATTCATACAGCAGGACGCCATGGCGATAATTAGACTCAGACACCTGGGCCTATGGCATAAGAGTGAGGGATCGCACTCCAAATTATGGGATCAATTGGTAGAATACGAACCACTAATAGCAGCCCCATGCGATAGAATCAGGTGCGAGAAAATGACCGAGATCAATCCGGCATTAATGAAGTCCGAAATTACACGGACGGTTCAAAGACTAGGTCAGGAACTGGAGCCGGAGTTTTCTCGCAAGACCTAAATATGAACATATCACTAGCATTAGGCCAACACAGTTCCATATTCCAATGCGAATGTGTGGCAATAACTTACGCCGCCACAACGGCCATGTCAAGGGCATCACGCACGCATCACGACAGCATGGCCGTCCTAAAGGCACTGGTTATAGGTAAACAGACGTATTTAATATTTTTATTTTAACAGTTTAGTTTTAACAATATATTTATTCAGTGATTTTTGTGAAGTTTTTCTTTGCAATAGGCACCTAGATGGCGCCTAGGCAATCAAACAACTAATAAATTCAATCAAACATTTTTTTTTTCATTATTTGTAGGGAATGTGAGTAGATTTTACAAACTTACGTTATGTTCTAGTATATCCAACTATCCATCGTTCAACGAGCACATCCACCCTCCGTCCCGCTTCTCTGACGACACAGAGTGCGAGGGGCACCACCGGCGCAAGCGCGCGTCGCACTCGCACGCGGCGCACGCGCACGCCGCACCCGACAAGCAGGTCACGAGGGAGGCTTTCCAAATTAATGTCTGAGACGCGCTTAACACATGTATGGAAGAATAAGTGTAAAATTACGTACTGAAGAATGTTCTCAAAATATTGACAGTGACTAATAAATTAAATAAGGCTTTAAATGTCGGAGATTTCAAATACTCTTTGTAAGTATTGTCAAATTGTTTCTATTTACTCTGGTCGGCTAATAAAAAGCTAACCATGAATTTTGACGATAAGTTCGTCAGTAACTTTAATTCGTCTTGTTTGAGTACAATTAAGACGGTTTTACCTGAACGTTACTATCGATAAATCTTTGCTCTACCATACATGTCGGTACAAAAAAACATATAATTCTAAAGAGAATGGTATGCAGCTCCTAAAGCAAGTCCTAATATTAGTATACAGAGTGCAAATATTGCATCTTACATTTTCTAACACGACTGCTATTTTCGTTTGTATCTTTCATGTAGGTACTTATAGTATTTTGACAACACGTTGCCAAATTCGTGAAACTTCCATATAACTAGACGTGTAAATAGTATTGTAGATAGGTTTAGCCAATATAATTATACTTATTCTTTAGTGCCATTTATAAAATACAAAAACACATTACATAATCCTTATGTGCTCAGAAGACCGAGTGTTTTAAATAAACGGCTGGAAGCGCCGTTAAAGTTGTAGGTTCTAAAACCACTCGTCGTTGTGTAAATATTAATAATATAATTAATGATAAGTACACATTAATGACTATCGAATGTAAAATATAAGGAGAACAATAATTAAAATAAATATATATATATATTTTAAACTTAATGCCTTATTGACCAAAGTCTTAAAACTAGTTACGGATGTAATTGTGTAATTATATCCCATATTTAATTAAATACGAATTGTTTAAATGTTGTAAAGTTTATGGAAACAAAAGAGTTTTCATTGGCAAATCTTATCATTGTCTATAACATTAAGATTTTGAAGTGTGTAAATTGATGAATTTTCAAATAACTAATTCTATCTTAGGGTAAAGATAAGCATTTTGTTGAAGTGCCAAACAGTGAATCATACGCGTAATATATTAACTATTCCTCTGTACACTAACCATTTACCCAGTTCGCAAACATGTTTTATTTATAGAAAGTGACTTTTAAATGGAGTTTCAATATTTCGCAACATATTATTATTCGAGACAACGGAATAATTTTCATGAACAAGTTGTTTGTGCTTTGGGATAAGCTTACGCTGTTGACAATGATGTAAAACATATTAATACCTAGGTCCCTATTTTGTTGTACATATAGTACTTAAACACTTTGATTATATACTTATTTATTTATCATCAGGTCACTAGGGTGCCTATTCGCTGCCACTGTAAAAGTGTTCAAATCACATAATTATATTACCTAACTCATTTTCTCATTAAGTTGCTACACGAAACAAGTTCACAGTACGCCGCTTCTTACACGACACTTTGTGTGATCCACAAATTATCGTTCTGAGTTTGGGTGTTCTTTGTATCCGTTTCATGTATATTTGTAAAGTCCCGCGATACATGATGTATTCCTAGTGCGAAAGTTATCTTTTAAAAGAAAAAAAAAGAATAAGAGTAGGTCTTAATAAAACTAAACTTGCAGACTTAAATCGATTTACTTCTCATTTTGCAATCGTCACTTTAGACTCACCATCAAGGTACCTATGTTTATTACGATTTAAAAAAGTATATAATCAAAGAGTAAAAAAGTAGATCGTTCTGAGATCGACTAAAAGGCTGCGTCTTTAACTGTAGAAACGGTAGAGCGAAAGCGACAGCTGTGCTCCTACCAAATAATACAGACACATGGATTACATTAAAAAACTTTGTGGCGACAAATGAACGAAATTTTGCTAATTGAAATTTGAAATCAAAATGTAGGTACCTATGCGAATCTATCGTCGTCGCTCCATCACCGCAACCACTCAAAGACGCATCTCAAACAGTGCCAACGAAGGGTGTCAGAGCGGTCAACGTTCATCAATTCGTGCATTATAAGCGATATAAAATAAAATGTTAGTAATATACAATCCTCATTAAACAGTAACACGTGACAATACACTTACCTATAGTTTGGTGAATACGGCAGAAAGTTACAATTTGTATGTACATTATGAACTGTATCATGTTGGTAGTATAGTCTATGAGTGTTGGACATATTAGTTTTGTAATACGTTTAATGTGAGTTGTGTGGTTTATAATAATTTACAATCGTTTACGTTGTCACTCTTTAGTAATTCCAACGAAGACTGCCCTATATTTAATTGAGATCTATTTTGTATAATATAGACACAATTACCTAATGCTAGTCAATAATACAAAGTAGATTTTTTAGTAATCGTGAGTTCAAATTTCCTCTAAACTTGGTTACACAAATTTTCGCTTTTACAGTTGAATATATTTTGCTGCTAATCTTATTGTAGTAATTCATTAAAACTCAATTTGTCTAACCATAACGTTAAATTGATTTTAAAGTACTAAACCGTTTTATTGGCATACAACTTCAGAGAACAATATCGACAGTAGCCCCTTAGACTGATATTATGCCCATAGATTGGAATGTTCATTTGTATAATATATGACTTACGATATCGATCATAAAATCAGCGTTATCGATATCGATTAAAAATGATAAATAAGTGCAATGGCTATTTTTCGTAAACCATACTTGATATTTTTGTATCGTAACTCATTTGCAACTGCGACTGTCGATGACGATATTATTTGTAGTTAGCCATCATTTTTACACTCATCAAGAATACATATAATCAATTACAAAACATCAAAAGCAACTAACCGTGTGGACCGCTAATATTTGATTAACTGAATTCCCCCTCATAAAAAATAAAAAATTACACACATATTAAAGTCAAGTAGTTTTGATTACGTTAAATATTAATAAATTAACAATTTTAGTTTTCCAAGAACACTCCCATATGAGATCCCATATTCAAGAGAAGTGAAGTATCTAGTCAGAAATAGTCACAAAAACTTGTAATTTTTAGTACAATAAAATCAATTTCACTACAATGTTGAGTCAGTTGAATTTGAAATTATCGGCATCCCCAAATAAATGTTTTATGTGACATCATAATTTTTAGTATACCACTATTCACTTTTCTTAAATACCTACTAACGTGTTCTTATTACTTTTGGTGGGTAAGACCGATATAGCTCTGATTTACCAATAAATGCCTAGAAAACCCCAAATAGCAAAGAGGATTGCTCAGCAGGTACATCTATGATATGCACGTTAAAAAATATAAGTTTAAACATTTAGTTTAGTTGTCATTTTACATTCGAAAATAGAGTGCGGGGCTTGATCGATAGGATCAAGCCCAAGCGAACTCTCACCAATCATATTCCAAGCTTTCGTACGAAACGATAATTTCTTGAAACCTGATTAGTCGGGGGTCGGTTTTTAACGCCAATGAACTAGAGTTTATAAGTTTAGGATTTCACCGGAAAATTATAAAAATACATTTAGATGTGTGATATACTAAATATTATGTTGTGAACCGATTTAGCTTTGTACGACGAGAATGAATGAGTTTTATAGCTTGTCATCTAATGACTTGAGTGAATTTTCAATTATATTAATTTTAATCCAAACCTCCTGATCAGAGAAATGAATAAAATCAATGTTTGTAAATCAAAACCTGTCGTTCAAAATATTTTAATTTTAAAAGAAATACTTAAATCAGATGCTTTTATTTATTTATTTGACCACTTTTTTGTCTAGATCGATTTGGAAGTATAAATTGTTATTTAATTTGTATAAGTACATTTTGAGCTGCTCACATCTAAAGAGAACTTTTTTTTTTAAACTATCTGTAATTATTCTGAATTCTAGTCAATGTACCATATCATTTTAAAACATTTTGTTAATATAAATAAATACACGAGAATTAATTGTAAGGGTTAGTTAATCATGTTGTTACAAATATGTTTTTATAATGCAAACAAATGAGTTATTAGGACAGTATGATGTGAAAGAAAATAAAAATTCATTTACTTGAAACTGTTTTTTTTATTATTGTGCTTATAATTAGATTTACTACCTAAATACAGAAAACAGTAACCAGCTGTTCGATAGAAAAGGTATCAGTACCAAGGTAATAGATTTATTTACTACTTAGTCAACTAGAAAGAAGTCAGAAGGCGCTTTTTGTTCGTGCAAACGAGCAAACGGATATCCTGAAGTGGCTGCGATGATAGTGGGCACGCACACCTGCAACTTTTGGGAGACGAGTGCGCAGTCGCCTATTGAGGGTCTTCCCTGGCCCAATGTTACGGGAGGGGGGGGGGTTTGAACGTCCAGTCACTCTATTCACTTAGTGAAAAGACATGAAATAATTGCTTAGCAGCAGTTTTCTGTCAGGCCATGGTATTAGTCCGGTAGGACCGGCCCATACGTCAAGGCACGGCTCTCTTAAGACGGTGTTCAAAGCTGCGCAGTTCAATTGAACAGCTTCATTTTAACTACATGTACTGTAATCTAAACGATTATATTTAGTTATTTAGTTTCTATTAAAAGATGGGCTTATGAATGCCTTATCTTATTCCATTTTAATATAGTTTTCCTTGCACAATGGTCTCCAATTCCGAAACCCCTAAGGGGTTGCCCACCTTCGGAGGTGAAATACGCACGTGAGTGAGATTGTATATATTTAACGAATAATAAATATGGTATTCAACAAGTCTGAAATACTTTTATTCTAAGCTACACTTCGGCATGTAAAAGTGGCCCATAAATCGATTACCATAAATTAGGTTGTGGGGTCGAAAGTTTAAAATGTTTACTAGACATGCATTCAAAATCATTACGTACGTTAAATACATTTATATGGAAACTAGGATTCGTTAAAAGCTTAAAGCTCGTATAGGGAATGAATGCATACATCATCAACATTATTCTCATTCTTCTCCCAACCAACTTCAACAATTCTTCTCACACAAACAAGGTGTACAAATTACTAACATTATTTAATCCTTCCTATTCTTAACCCGTCAAGGTCAGAATAAAACTTTATCCAGCAAATATTTAAATAAGGATAGATCTTTTTATAGTCCTAAAAAAGGGCCCTTATGAGAGTTCGTCTTAATTTCGAATACGAAAAGTTCTGCAATGTCTGGAAGAACAACCGAATATTCGTAAAAATGATTTTTGTTTGTCAACATAATTCGTTTTTAATAAAAATACATATTTTACTTAATCACTATCACTATCTTCTTCGGCAGTAAAGTCATACGGTCGAAACTTTTCTCGAAATTCCTTCACAAATTGGTCCTCTTCCTCTCTGCTGAGCTGACACTGGCGCCAGTCAGCCTTGTCTTCACAGTTTAAAATAGGCGGACTTGATAATACATCCCTAAGGATATACAAAAACAAAATATAAATAACATACAGTAAGTAAAATATGAAGTATACTTTTTACTATTCCATAGAGGACAAACGAGCAGTCCGGTCAGCTGTTGGTAAGTGACAACTGCCACCCATGGACACACTCATCATCATTATCATCGTCGGCCTATCGCAGTCCACTGCTGGACAAAGGCCTCTCCCATTGGACACACTCATGGCAACTCAATAGTCACAAAGGCACAAATGCGTTGCCGCTTTTGGTTAACTCAAATCAGAGAACTTAGAACTTACTCAGTGAAAAGCAAAGAAAGAACAAATTAATTTAAAAAATGGTGGGCATAGGTCTCTCCTTAGAAAGGACGTTTTTGCCTACTATACCACGCTGGCCAGACGGGTTGGTATAGGGTTTGTGTCAAGTTGTCCTAATTTTTGCAGTGCCGTTGTTCTGCCTGCGTAATTTGCGCCCTCAGTCGGCTCTTACTACACCCACGGCATGAATAGGGGTGGTGACATTTCGTATTCTTAATCCGTCACCACACGGATACGATACGATACTTTTGAATATATATTTACCGTTCTTAAATAACAGCCCTATACTATACATGTTATTTTTTTATTTGCATGTTACATGTTAAAATATTATGTTGCATGCAACAACCGTTAGACGACAACCAACTTTAGTTGTACGGTCGTTGGTGTTAAGGTATAAAATATCTATACCGTTTTTAATTTATGAGGAACATTAGAAAGATAAATTTAATTTTCAGTGATGACTTACCTTCCAAAATGCAAAGGGAAATGTTGCTTCGTTCTTGCGTACAACTGTTCACCAGAGGGTAATTCAGCATGGAAATATGGCGCGCCTGGCAAAGACACTTGCCTTATGTCCGCAAAATGTGGTAACACCTCAATCTGAATACTGTTTATACCAGCTTCATCCTACAAGCAATAGTTAGGTATAATTTAATAGTAATAACAATCGGAGGCATCCAACTGGGCACACCTGTACTACAATTTCCAGAAGACTGCAGCTAAACAAAGTTCCCCATGCTTTCAATTTTTTTTTTAAACAATTTAAAAGGGTAGGATATTAATTATATAAGTCTATGATAATTAATTTTATTAATCATTTGTCTTCTATCATGTCATAACATCAGTTTAGCAAAGTAAGGTGGCACCTTTTATTTGCTCTAAGTCTAGTAGAAAAATACAATATGGCAATACTGATTCAGCGAAGAAATCCACTATGCCACTATCCAGTATTCCAATTTTATGAGCTTTGTAATGTTCCTCCTATACAAGGTTGGTAAAGCATAGAAGACAAGTGACTCACTACACACTTCTCTTGTTCACTATTTACTTAATCACCACAAAAAAAGAGTTTTCCCCCCACCTATTAGATAAACCTTTGCTTCTAGCAATAAATTTAATGTGAGAGTCAGAGAACAGATATAATAAGATAAACTAAAATGTTTTATGAATTTATTTAAACGAGTAGTTTGTCTTGAGTGAAACCTGGGGGTTATCACATGGAAATAGAGGAGTTCCTGGCCAGATGTAACAAACTTATAAATTCATTACATGCTTTATGCCTATTAGGTACTCTTATATATTTTAAGTCTATATAATAAATTGCTATATGAACCTGAAAGACCTCCAAGATTTCCGATTCGCAAGACTTCGGTACAGGAACACACTGTATCTGCATATGTGACGTTTTATAATTTCTCTCAAAAAATACTACGAGCATGTTCAGGTCGTTGGCAAACTTCTTCAAGGCTGCTTTGAATTTATTTATTTCATCTACTATTTCATCAGACACCTAAGTAAAAAATATATTATTAATAATTATGAATAAATAATTTAAGTTTAATTGAAAGTTTTTTTTAATTACATTCATAAATTTTACAAAGATAGTTCTAAGGCTATTGCTGTGTTTTTTAAAATAATATTTTATTAGCAAAAAATATATAACATGTACACAATCTCTTATTGGTGGCAGATTAATAATACGGAGTGTCACCACCTCTAGTCATCCCGTAGGTGTCGTAAGAGCCGACTAAGGGAGCAAACTACGCAGGACAACAATACTGCAAAGATAAGAAAAACTTGACACAAACCCTTTACCAACCCACCCGCGTCTGACAAGCGCGGTATAATAGGCCAAGACCACCTTTCTAAGGAGAGACCTAAGTTCAGCAGTGGACTATTAAAGGCGGTTGATGTGATTCGAATGTATTTTATTAATTAAATATTATTCTAATGTAATAGAATATCTGGTTTATGCCCAGTAGTTCCATGAAGACAGTTAAACATGGTACTGATGTAACATTAAAAATACGATTTTTGTCCCATTTGTTCCATGTAATTTTATACTACTTTTACAGCTGACATTGTTTTCTTTTCCGAAAAACTTTTTAATGACTATTTATTTTATTCATATAAACTATAAGAGAGGTGATGTAGTACATGGAAACAAAATACTACGGGGGTCTTCGTAGATGTAATAGCAGCTGCAATATCGTACTCAAAATAAGTAGCTATAGGGAAGTAGTAAAAATTATAAGTCTTTGTGTCAGTGACAATGGCTTACCCCATTCTATTTTCCTCAATATATGATTGAAAAAAAGAAACACGAAATAAGAATTAATCACGCGAGCGAAACCGAGGAAAATAGCTAGTGTCTTTAAATAGAACAAACCAGTTTCAAGTTCAGTTCCAATTTTCAGTTTCAAATAGATAAATTCAAATTCGCGATTCGGTCGCAAAAGTTTCATGTGGAACTAACTCCATTGAACTACTGGGAACAAACCGAATTTCTTATGTAATAGAAAAAAGGAGGAGTGTTACAAGTTTGGCGTGTTTGTATTTGTACTTATGTTTTGTGTATCTTTGACGTCATAGGTCCCAAGCTTGCCAATTCACATGCATAGTACTACATGTTAATTTAGTTAGGTTGATTCTAATTATATATGTTTTCAAACTCACTTGTCTTATATATAGTATAGTATATGTAATTACCAGTAATGTGATCATACCTTCGTAATGGCTTGGTAATGCGCTATAGGCAATATGAGCACATGATATGGAGATAATGGTCCCTTGGCTAATGCGAGGTAACAGTTAGTACCAACACTTATCACTAAGTGCTTCTCCACAGATGGTGAAGAAAGACAGAACCAACAAGAATCTGAAATGTTAGAAAATACTTTTTATTTTTATTTTTTCTTTTTTTTAATTACAACTTTTGCTCTAGAAACGGACACAAAAAAGAAGAATTTTATTTCTGGATCACACAAAGTTCGTCGTATGTAAGGATCGATCCCACAACACTCAGCGCAGGAGGGAGAGGCGAGATTATTGCTTAAACCACTACGCCATCCGTGCAGTAAAATCTATATTATATAAACGTTGAGTTGGTTTGTGTACACTTAAAAATTCAAAAAGATCTGCACCGATTGAACTGAAATTTTGACACGATAAACAAAACGCTTTAGAAATGAGAGAGATGATTTTTATCTACTCTTTTTGCAACCACAATGCGCTACAACGAATTGTGGCAAAGTCAGTCAAAATCACGCCCAAAGGAGTCGGTTACAAACAAACATACAAGTGAAGCTAATATAAAGCGTGTAATAATTAGATATAATTTTTTCATGTTGTCCTAACCATTATAATACTTTTACCTATTGCAGGACTATAATTTCTGCGATTTCTATACTCTAACTCTACTCTATGCGGAATATTATAAAGTCAGAATTAGAAGAAAGTTATAAGTAGTTGTAAGTTTCAAAAATTAAGAATGTCAAATGTCACTTATCTGTTAACAATTTTAGACCACATTCCCGTAAAGCTCTAAGGTTGCATTTCGAATGGACAGAAAACTCCCAGATATTGAAATAAATTATACCTGGATCAATGTCTATTCTTTTTCTTTCTTGATTATCTCCACCTTTTCTTTTTCTCCTGCCTTGATCTTCTTCTGGAGTATCCATATTAAAGAAGAATTGACCATTACCGCAGAACTAAAAAATTAATGATCATATAACATCAGCTTGAAAGATTTACCTAGATAGATTCCCAGGGCACATCATAGCACTTTCTCTTGTTGAAAGGGATCAAACTTTTAGAGGTCTGATCCCCACCAAAAACAAAACAGAATTACAAGATGTAGAATATTGTTATAACAAACACTCAAACTATTAAATGAATAGCACTACACTCTGATTCCATTACTATAACAAAACCTAGTCTATCCTAGTTAATAACATAAATGCAAGTTTGTGTTTGTAAAGTTTTAGCTGATTTAGGTGAAATCTAGCATTCACATTATCTGAGAACAATCAAGAACTAACTGAAATGGACAGTAAGTACCCTATGGACTTATCAGTTCATGCAGATAGAGTATTCGTCTTGTGGAACAGAAAACCTTTTAAGAAGACATAGGAGTTCACAAACTCAACATTAACATGAACAAAGCTATGGGCAAAAAATGGTTCAGTATAATATTACAAATATTACCTTAACAGCTTTTCCAGGTTGATTTTGCTTCAACAATTCAGGGTCATATGGACAAGGTGTTTCATCTGTAGTGCCTTGCAATAGGTCTGTTACTCTCATCTTTGTGATTGGTTGCAAAGAACAGGCATAGATCCACTTCTCTTTCATCTTGTTGCCAACTGGGCCTAGTGCTATAAACCTTGATGTACATTCTCTGTAGTCCTGATGTTCACTTAGATTTCTATAGAAAAAAAAACTGTTCTTAGAACTAGGATTGATTCTACCACTGTGAATGTTTTAAGGTATGTGTAGGTACATGAATGAACTTTCAATTTAATCTTCCATGGTCCTCTAGCATCTGCCTGAGAAACCAAAACAGCATTTAATAGTGCAAGCACTACTACTAAACTAGTATCAAAATATGTCATGCCATTCACCCGGTTCACATGCATCATTCTGAGACTTTTAGGGAATTTTAGTATATATTATATACATTTAAGCATGCTGTTAAACATGTGGCGACTTCCACATAGAATAAAACGCAGAAATATAGTACAGCGGCATTTAACGAACACACACATAACTACGGAGTAACTCCAGAATGAGAATTGCTAATCCTGTATCGCAATATGAAGAATTCTCTTGCCGATTAGCATATATATAACTTCCCATCATCCATGTTGACTACTGATCCAGACATACAAGACTATATATGTATATATACATGGCCTAGTACCAGAGATGTTGCTGTTGCTCTATAAAAGCAATGTTATCTGGGCAAAGTATAAAGTAAGAGACATTTTTATCCAAACAAAGATTCATAATATTTTAAACTATTTTTTTTAGTAAAATTACTTTTTATAATAATGCAATTCAGATTAGAGAGAAGACAGAAGACAGTACCTAACTTCAGATTACAGTATTACCACTACATTAGAATGCATTGATGCATGTAGTATACTTTCTACTCTATGTTATAAATAGATTTTCTCATTTCTTATCAATAAATTAAAAACTTGTACACACTTTAAACAAACATACCTGTATGGTTGTCTTTCATAATATTTATCAGATGGTACAAAGTGATATCTGGGTTTAATATGTATTGCAAGCCATGACAACAAGTTTGATAACTTGTCTTGTTCTAAATCTATCTGCAAAAGAGAAATTGTTATGAATTGTAACTACACATACATGTTACTGTGAAAAGTAAGTGAAAAAAAAATCTTTTAAAATCAGTAATTTTTTTTTTCTTTTATTTTATCACAGATATTAATTTATATGCAGCATTCACATGTACATGTACTCAAACATGATAATAATGTTTTTGCTAAGGTAAGACCTATAATAATAAAAATAGTATAATCAGCCTTTCAATCACATACTTTAACTAACATACCTTCTGGGATTCATCCTGTTGTATGCCAGCTGGCCATAAAGTGGTGATCAAAACATCTACACCTCTGTACTCACTTTGGCCTCTGAAGCAAGCGTCCCTCACGGTGCTACAATCACTGGGTTCAAATGTGCACATTGGAATTTCTTTGCCAAGCTCCCTCCTAGATAACCCAGTGAGGTATGCTATTTTGACATCAGCACTAGTTGTAAATATCCCTCTTCTACCTAATGACAAATTTCAAATTAATAACAAATCAACGTGAATTATGAAATTTAAAGTTACTTGAGGACTCATCTCTTCATCATCAACAGTCTTTATTAGTGCACTGCTAGTCCTTAGAAAGGAGGTTTTGGCCTACTATACAACACTGGCCAGACAGGTTGTTATAGAGATTGATTCAAGATTTCTTTTCAAGTCGAATAATCCTTTTGAGAAATTCAGACGAAGTTGCGCAGGTCAGGTAGTATACCTATGCATATATCTGGTTCTTTAGCCAGCATGTAACTTCTGACACAATCAGAACCATGTTATATATTTGGTATGTTTATTAAAAAGCATCAGGATATTTTTAACTTTATAAAACGCCTTTCTAAGGAGAGCCCTATGACCAGCAGTTGACTGTTAAATGTTGATGATGATGATGATGATGATGATCAGGACATAGCATGAATTAAGTTAATTGTGAATAAAATATAAATAAGTCCTTTAGTAATTCAGTTACTTACCCATATAAATAACATTTGGAACAATCTCAGATCCCTCTTCACAATACAGTGGAACATGTTCTGGTTTTGATGGTCCAAAGATATATGTAGTCACAGGTACTGAAATATCCAAAATTGTTACTTAGAAATCAAGTAATAAATAAAAATACATCATTTCCACACATGTTTTAAATAATGTGATATCTTGCATAAATATGCAAGATATCACATATAGTGTTCCCGAGGACTATAGGTTTTAAGCCTTTTTTTTAAAGCTAGACTTGTTTTTAATAAATTAGATTTTTCGTACATTTTAACGATTCAACTGAATTTGAAGATCTGCAACACTACAGTAAAGGAGTTAACTCTGACTTTGAAATGAAGTTTGAAAAAAAACATCTATTGTGTATAAATTGTGGTTTTTGCTTTGGTTCAAAGATTTAAATTTAGTTATTAAGAATTGTATGTCTTGCAACAAATAAAAATAGCTGCATAACTCCATGGATTTACAGAAAAGGTTATTGAAATTGCCTATATGCCTATACAAAGTTGTTTCGTCTTGAAAAGTTTGAAACATCAAATGGTACCATACTATAAAAAATGTTTTTGCAAGTCCCCATCTCTCGATTACCCCTGGACAAAAATCTGGGTTTACTCATAAGTATCAGGTTTGCTTAAATTATAAGTGATTGATAAGTATGCCCTTTCCTTTGATAAATTTATTTATGAGAGAATTCACTAATAAATCTTTTGACTAAAGGAAATTCATGATTGCTTTAAGATATACCTCAATAGGAGACAGCTATTCAATTAACTTTACATTGCCGTTATTCTTGATTGGGATTTTATTTATATAAAACAACTTTGTCACTTGATTTCCAATGGAACAGTTTTTGTAATCCATAACATTCATTTTATTTGATTTGTATAACTAATAAATACCTACTTTTATTACAGGCAAATAATTGTTTTTTTTTTACTTAATTGCATTGTAGTTGTTGGAATTATAGGGGGTTCCTTAAATTATATTTATCGAAATTATATATCGTGTGGTTACCTATTTTGGTTCTCAGTTTATATGGAGTCAACTGTGAATTATCATCACCAAAGAAATTGCCAACACAAAGCAAAACATCAAATGTTCCAGATTTCTTTATAATTGTTTCAACCCGGGAAAATAGAGCGTTGAAGTTGCCATTCACATCCCCGCATATTAATCTGAAATGCAATTAAAATTATAAAAAAAAACAATATTAGGTATTGAAATGCTGACCGGGTTTTGTAATAGAATTTAGTTTTGCATTATTAGCAACATAGCGACTTAACTATTGTTCGGCATAAAATTATCTAATTATATTACAATTAAAAAATTTATTCATTTATTAAATTTAAAAAAATATGCTTCTTACGTTTTTTGTTTATCCATTGTAAACTAGTATCACAAAAATATTTAAGGTTATTTTTCCTCAAACTTCAACTATGACAGTTAATCACAGAGCACAGTAATCATAGAGATAATATATATCTGGAGGCGGCAAGCCGTAGTGAGAGTAGTAGAGCCGTAGTGAAGATGTCATTTACGTACATAATTTAGTGTTAATTTATATAGTTGTTAATTTGAAATTGAGCGGCATTGTCAAACCTGACATAGCTCAGTAAACAAAGATTAAAAAAATATATTTAAGGTTATTTTTCCTCAAACTTAAACTATGTATGACAGTTAATCAACCGGGGAAATATTATTGGATGATAGAGAAAATTTCACAGAACTAAGGCTGTATCAATCTTATTCTAATCGTAATGAGGTAATTCGAACACACTTAGCAAATTAATCAAATATAAATCCTAAAAGCAATTTATTTATCTTATTTTGAAGGTATTCTAGTAAACATATTACATAGCGTTAAACTGATCATTGCAATAATTTTAATACAAGTAGTAATCAAATGTGATTTGATATGTTTGAATTCTACTAGATTTGAAACTAATAACTTTTTTTTTCTCTATAAAATGTTTTTAGTTCGGCAAAATCGTGAATGAATTATATTTACGTTAGTTCATAGATGAATAATACGTTTCTTGAGTATGACTATTGTTACTGTAAGATTTTGATCATATCGAAGGAAAATATCGAAGAATTTGTGATTTGGAGATATAACAAAATGAGATTCTGAAAATTAGTAAATGTTTGTCACCCAAAATATGTAATTATTTTGTAAAATTTTTAGGACGTGACATCATCTCTATTCAGTCAGAATAATAACTTTAAAATATAGAGACAAACACTAACTTTGTATTTAATGTTAGTTAGGTCAGATTTAAATCATAAATTTGAATGTTTATTTAGTCTTATTTTTATGTTGTTTTATTTAGTTGGACTGAGTCTGTAAGTTGCTCTGAATGGTTCATGTAATAAATGCGCTGACTGACTGTTATGGTAAATTCTCATTTTTTCATGTTTTTGACTACCTCTAACCGCTTAAGATGTGGGCAATAACAGGCAATGATACGTCTATAAATAAATATAGATGTATAATGTTATTGAACGGCCAATCCTAATCTAAGATAACAATCCCGGATAATCGGCAAAATATTAGTTTTAGATAAGTCTACATGAGCCATAAGAACAAAAGGCAAACAATGTATTAAAAAAACTAAAGACGTAAACAACATTAACAGATCAGGTTTGACATTTAAAAGTGACAAGTGGGACAACTAACCACACAATAATCTTGTTTTTTCTTAATTTCTTGAATTATTCACTTCTGAATGTAAGTGGATAAGGTATATTTTGTAAATTGATCATGGCTTCTTCTAGTAAATTGCCTGGTACGGGTTTAGAAGAAGTAGGAGTGCCCGGCCAGTCTTTTCTCCGCGAAGCACTTACTAGCTGCACCGACCCACTAAAGGCCATTGAAGAATTCCAGTTAGAGAATGGGATATTATTGCCTTCTTTACGACCTATGCTGCCTCTGCTTGACCTTCATGGAGTGCGTAGGCTTGATTTCCATACATCTGTACTAGAAGAATTAAGGGACAAACTTATTTCTCACATCAATGAACTTGGAGGCAAAGATGGCAAAGAAAATGACAAAAAACTTAAAGAATTATTGTCTAAAAGCTTTCCTGTGGTTAGAGTGAAAGCTTTAAGGCCTGTTATCATGAGTATCTTGAAAAATACACCCCACATTGATGATAAATATCTCAGAGTCTTAGTTAGAGACCGAGAACTGTATAATGACACTGACACAGAGGTAAAACGACAAATATGGCAAGACAATCAATCTTTGTTTGGTGATGAAGTATCACCATTATTGAGCCAGTACATTAGGGAAAAAGAGAATGTATTATTTGATCATGAGAATCTCACTAATCTGTTTTTCTCACCATCTCCAAAAGTAAGAAGACAAGGAGCTGTTGTAACAAAATTAGCTCATATGATTGGCAATAGTGTGAAGCTGTATGATATGGTGTTGCAATTTCTACGAACATTGTTTCTGAGAACTAGGAATGTACATTACTGCACTTTGAGAGCTGAGTTGTTGATGGCTCTGCATGATTTAGAAATACAAAATATCATATCTGTAGACCCCTGTCACAAATTTACTTGGTGCTTAGATGCCTGTATCAGAGAGAGAAATGTAGATATAAAGAGGTCTAGAGAGCTACAAGGGTTCTTAGATAGTATTAAGAGGGGACAAGAGCAAGTTCTAGGTGACTTATCAATGACACTATGTGACCCTTATGCTATCAACTTCTTAGCTACATCTGCTATTAAAATACTACAACATTTAATTAACACAGAAGGTCTTCCAAGAGATAACACTATATTAATTTTACTACTTAGAATGTTAGCATTAGGTTTAAGTGCTTGGGTAATGATTGATTCACAAGAATTCAAGGAGCCAAAACCGGACAGTCAAGTGGTCACAAAATATTTACCAGCTTTAATGTCACTAATGGTAGATGACCAAGTGCGTGCCTTACACAATAAACTACCTCCAGATGAAAGAGAGTCAGCGATCACTACTATTGAACATTCAGGCCCTCCACCTGATGCTTGTGAAGCTTACATGAGAGAAAATTCAGTTTGTGGTGTACTTGCGATGTATTACACACTTCATGCAGCAAAGTTGAGAGATAGAGGGGCTCTTCTCCGTATTTTAAGTATTTTAGGCAGTTGTAAAGATGGCAGAGCTTATGAAGATCCATTCTTACATGCGCTTGTTGCATTACTAATACAATTGCCTGATGAATTTCAAGGTGAAGACTTTAGTACTGTATTGTTTGACGAATTTTTCTTTGCTGGCCTTTCTAAGGACAATGTCACAAGGCATTTACTTAAACTGCTCTGGTATATTCATCCTAAATTACCAGAGACAAGATTACAAACTCTAATGAAGGCTCTTCAACCAGGTACTCAACACAATGAGTCTGTGCATAAGCTGTATGAGTCTTTACAGCAAAAGATGACGACTCAGACAGAGCCAGTGGCTAGTACTAGTGAAATGGAGTATTTGGACTCCCCACTCATGAGTGTTCCTACACCAGCGCCTTATCATATGTAGCATAGACTTAATTTTGTATTGGGTTATACATGCATGTTATTAAAGATAAATAAATTTACTACGTTTTTATCTAAATGTTTAAATATTAATTTCACAATCAATACTTTTCAATACCAGTTTTCGGAAGATCAAATTTATTATTCACATTTACTCACAAACAAGTCACATGATAATATTAAATGTAAATTAGTGCTTATCAGTTCTATTAAGAGCTCTATAACAATTACCAATGTTAGGGTGCTTCTACACCATACAAGTAGCTTACGCATGTTGAAGCACTTGCTCAGGTTATTTGCAAAAAGGACTATGAAGGTCCAGCGACTCGAGCATATACCCCGTGCATGTAACTGACGCAAATAACCCGCGTCTTTAACCGCTCCAGCTACATGCAACGTGTGAAATACCCTTAAGCATATCTATTAAGTTAGAAATCATCACCTGCAATTAAATATGTCAGTCTGAAATCGATACAAAGTAATGAAAGATTGAAAATGATTCTGGGCTATCCCTGTTCTTGCAACATTTTTCACTCAAACTTGGCTCCTATTAGTCGTAGCGGAATGTTTTAAGTATAGCCTTCTTCCATAAATGGGCTATAGAAAGCTTAAATAATTTTTAATTCGAACCAGTAGTTCGTGAGATAAGTTCAATATAACAAAGAAACAGATAAGTTCAATCTAACAAAAATAATATTAGTATAGATTATGACTAATTGTAATAGATAATCTTGTCTTAAAATATCTTCCTTGAAATAACTTCTAACAGTTTCGGATCTCCCGACAAAAGCCAGTTGACCTGTTCGAATTACTTAGGTACTGCTTTCACTCTTGCCAATTCGTCGCATCCCATAATCATTATCCGTATCCTCATCTACATTTCTCTTACAATATGCTCGTAATAATAAATAAGTATTTTAGTGTTGCACGGTTGAAGGCTAACCCCATTTAAAAACGTTTAAATGATTGCGCCGTCTAAACTATTAAGCGTATATCACTAGTTTTGCTCGCTCTCAATAGATGGAGTTGTATGTAGTGACTAAACAACTTTAAAATACATTTCCCCAAAACATACATATCCATATGTATATAAACACAGTGTCGACTACATCTGATCCGCTTTGAAACACTGCGAGTTAAGACACATTTATTCTCTACGATATAGAATACAATCAAAAGATTAGTTTTATTCAACGTTTCATCAAAATCATCTAGGTAAGTTCCAAGACCGTACCAAGATAAATACATCCACATTAGGCACATTCGTATCCTTATACAAAAGAAGATTATGCGCTCTGTTGAGCACTATAAATTCTCGTTCTCGTTACTATCTTTGTTATTTATTTATCTTACTTACTTTTACTTTGAGCATCTTCGAGGTATATCGACAAAAGGGCCGTAAATACCTAATCCCCGTAAGGGCCGAAGGGGTAAAGTGATGATTGGTGTGACAGACAGCAGGCGGGCAAGACAAGACTGCTTAATGTAGGATAATGTGTGTATGCGTTTAAGTAAGGTATGTACTTATGAATAGTAAAATCGAAAACACTCATAGTTGACTAAAGTTCATAAACATCTACTTGAGGTAGGTGTCTGCTGCATTTCTCGAAATTCTACTTATTCATGTGTAGGTAAGTATATTCATTTTTTTATATGTGGATAGGGACAAAAAAAAACGTTTTTAATCACCGTAAAATATTTATTAGTAGCAACTTACAGTAAATGTCTCAAATTAATACGTATAAAAACCGTTAATATTATGTACTACTTTAATGTTGGATCACAACATAGGTAAGCACAACAGATCACCATGGACGGATGAAGTTCTGAGCATTTATGGCAGTTAAACATATGTACATAAAAGATTTAAAAAATGTACTTTGAATCAATATTCTAGTTAGATATTAATTGAAATTGCATTGTATTGCTAATGGTCTGTACAAAATAACACGATGTATCTAGAACAAAAATAGTGTTGAACGTAACGGTTGAATGCATTCGATTATAGGTGAACGTGTTCTGCAAAAATCTGAGGAAAATAACCAAGGGGTCTTAAGTTCACAGTAGATAGTTATTATTAAGATTACGGATGTAAGTTTTCGAATAAGGTGTACTAACCATGTACCTGATTTTACTTTAGATCTAAATAGCTACCTAAGTAGGTATATATAAGTATTACTTACAAAAAATAAAACTGAAAAAAGGTAAAAGTTAAACTTATAGTTATACTTCAAACGCTACTTTTAATATTGTGTATTATTTTCTTTCAGCCAAAAATTCACATTCCAGTTAAGTCCAGGTCGGAGTGCTTTATTTGTGTTGGATAACACTCTCACGGACACCCTAAAGATTAGGAATTATTAATTATAGAAAACCCCTTAGTACATTCGAACAACAACATTGACCGTACGATAGCAACATATGTATTCATTATCAAATTATTCTATAACATCAAGTCAAAAAACTACAGAGCATGAAGCGTTGATTTGCCCGGGAATTACGCACGATGGTCACGTCTCTCCGGTTTCATGTCCAGAGAATGTAGGGAGCGCAGAGACCGTGAACGCTCAAACAACGATGGGTCTGTGTATATTGGTTCGCTGCCATCGTCGAAAGCGTTAGCCAGGCGTCCTGATGAACCTGCTTCTTCGCCCACATCACCAAAAGATCTTCCTAAGCCACTGCAAACATTTCAACAAATCATATTTAACAATTCGTAGTAATAAACGAGACTATTTTGGCTGACTAATCCTTGAATGAATTTTGGTATAGATTTATCGACAAGGGTAGATACTGCTCAAGATCTTAAATCGTAATAGCACTAGTTGGATTTTGTGCCTAAATTAGTTTAAATACTATTTACAAAAAAGTATTTAGTCTTTCCATTAATTTAAATTGCATACAATTAAGTATAATGTAGAGACTGCGCGTAGATAAGACATTGCCTAGAAGGAACTAATTTTATGTACCTACGTACGAGTATATATTTTAACTTTAAAATATAAATGCAAGAGGTAACACCTGTCTCTATACCTATCTGTAACAATGAAACAAAAGAAAGGCTGCCTTCTGTTTGCTTGACTTATTGCAATGAGTCAGCGTATTGAAATATATCTTACTCATAAAAATATTGACAATAACCATTGTTTCAAAATTTTATTTTACCAACTTATTAATGTGTACAACATTATCTACTTACTTGTCTAGTAAATAATAATCATTCGTTAAAATACTTACTGACAACAATGCATTTACTTCTATGGAAGATAGAAATAGTAATACGGATTACCTTTTTTCTATTCGTAAAAGATAAAAATGGTTACTATGTAAAGATATTTATATTATGGATGACACCTAGTCACACAACAAATGACCGTGCTTGTCACACAATATTTGTCCAGGGTGGGAACGAAGCTCAGCAGTCAGGATCACTAACCACTAGACAGGCCAGTCAAATATGGTACCTAATATGATAAAATAAAATTAGCTGTACAGGATTGCCCGATTCAAACTTTTTATTCGCGAAACCGTGTACTTAGAGAAGAGGGTCTGCGAAATACATATATGTATACCTAAGTAGGTAATTCGGTTCAATGATTATGCATTTATAATAACATTGATCGATTTCTTGATATTAGTTAGAGATATAAAATTTTACCTCAATGAGAAAGGTTTATGCAAATGCGATGCAGAAAAGAGAGAAGGACGCGTAGGCCTAGGTCCAGGGGTCACTGGCCTCAGTGCGGGTGCTGGAGAGGAGGCCTGGATGTTTTTGCGCAGTACCCGCCAGTATCGCCTGCACAATAAAATATAAACATTTTAATAAAAGGAAACACTGACCAAAGGAGAATGGAACTTGTTAGCTTATACCTAAGAATGTAGTTTTTCTTTAGACTTAATTAATTAGCAATATTAAAATTGAGGTACATCTATTTCTCGCTTTCACTAATAAGTAAGTCAAACGTGTTTTAGAATCTTATTGAGTTCAATATTTTGGTTAAAGAAAATGGCTAAAGTTGAGCAGTATCACAACTATGAGCACAGTTACTTAGTAAGTCGGTACATATTAGGTATAAGTATATCATAGCAAATTTATAAGGGAATATTAAATTACCATTATCGAGATAATTGCAAGGAACTGCAAAAATATCAATTTTGTCAAAACACATCATGAATAATACTATTTGTAATATGTAAATATTTCAGAGTGAAGACGCCATGAACTAAATTTAAAAATACAATCTTGTTTCTATAGCAATGCACGGACGACAATCTCCACCCTGCGCAGTACAAATATCTAGATAAGCTTGACAAACTAGAAAATCAAGTTATCAAACAACGGAATACCTAAAATACGACGCATGAGGAGTCTCGACACAGCTACTGAGTAAAAAGAATTCTTGATTTCTATTTGATAAAGCATTATAAATTAGGTATGGGCTGCTATGCGAGTGTTAAGTTGATGGGGATCTTATAGACATCACTAATGGCACTCTTTTTTTGTAAATATTCCCTAAATTTAGAGCTTTTATTTTAATGGATTGAAAAAACAATATTTTGCAGATGTGAGTATGGAACACTAATGCACCAGTAGTGATCTAAAATAAGTATACGCAGTTTGTTTTTAGTGTCATCCTCCTTCGAAAGCCAAACTAGGTTTGAGCCAGCCAGCCAGTCTTGTTTACACTCGGTTATTAGTATCATCAAAAAAGAAAAATAAAAAATTGGCCTACTATACGATGCTGGCCTGGTTATTTGCGTATTAGTTGTATTTGCCAGGTGGCAAGAACGGCCATCATTGATTCATTTATTAATATAAAAGAAACTCACTGTACAACTAGACAGGCATTAAATTAACTGTTAATTACTCGTATAAGTACTATCGGAAATGGTACATAAAACTGCTTTAAATAAAAAAAAATAAAATTAAAGCAAGTACATTTTTAAAATCCTTCTAACTAATATTTTAATGTGCATGTGTTTGTTTTTTACGATATTATAATATTACGTTAGGGTATCGGTGGCTATGATACTCGTATATCATAAAGAGCAGAAGGGTCACCTTGTCACCTGATGGTAAGTGATTATCACCATACTATGACCACTTGCAGCTATAGAGTCAGTACGCCTTAACTACAAGTACTTAATTTATCAATTTGAAATCTCCGATACACATGGCTAATGACATAAGGTACCTTTCATCCAGACGAAAGGGCTGTTCTAGAATTTTAGAAAAACACATTTACAAGAGTAATGCCGCATGCTATAGTTGAATTAAAACTTTACATTCTAGATGAGTACTATACTGTAAATATAAGAATTATTTATTTACTTTACTCCCACGCACTTATGTTAGTGCGTAAGAGGTTGATAACATGATATCTCAGAACTTTATTTAGTATTTTACAAGTTTACTCACTAACAACAAAACAGGAAAAGATAATGCGATTTTTACATTGAGGTCACTCGCTAAAAATCTTGTAGGTATTTAAATCTTTATGCCAAAAATCGCCATGCCATAGGCAATTCAGTGATTGTATGAAATTCAATTTTCGCCACATGCGATGTAGAAGTTTTAAGGATAGCGGGTTTGTTTTATCGTTAAAGATTATTCCTACATATCGGGATCGAAAGTGTTTACAAGATCAAGAAAAGGGTAACATACCTGTAGATATACAATGCAGCAGTCAACATAGCCAGCAGTAAAGACAAGAGCACACACAAAGCCACTAGAAGAGCCCTATAGTGGTAGGGCGGCACGCAGATCCCCGCAGCTGACACAACAGGTGAAGAATCACTTTCTCTATTTTCTTCTAGTAACTCGTTGCGGTTGTCGAATACCTGATAGGCGTTAAAAGGTTTTGAATTTAGTCCCTCAAAGAAGTTACTTTATTTTTATTGTTAGAGGTAATTGTAGTGCAAATGTTAGTAATTAAATCAGCTGTTCTAATCGAATAATTACAATCTGTCATACAGCATCGTTCATATATACCTACCTACTGTACTATATTTTATATTGATATTTATTAGAAACAGCTATACGACATGCATTTCTTTTAAGTAAAAATCAAATTACTTAACGTCAATCTCTAAATGTATTATTATGCTACGTTCTATTTAATTAGCATTAATATTATAATAAAATTAAACTAAACTTTCTGATATAGTTCATAGCCAGAACTGTAACAGAAAGTTTAGTTAGAGGGGAACGTGGGTACTTCTATTATCGGTTTATAACTAACTCTAAAAGAAAGATAGTAGATTTAAAAATGTAAAGTGAGCACGAGGAAGAAGAAAGGTATGTACAAAGGCGTACTTCACAGTTGAGTTCTCTTCCAGGTTACTGCCAGTAAAGACAGAATATCAGGACTAAACAAGACTCAAAGTTGTGTGTACGTAAAAATAATTGAAATAGAAGTATACATAAACAAAGCAACTAAAGTTTATTTATATATTTATAGTAGTAACACTTTAAAAGTAATATAAGTATGATGTGTTTGTTTTAATTAGTGATAATAACATTTTCTATCAAACTGCCTTAGCTGCTTTCTGTTATTGCCTTATTAATTAGTTAATATGTTTTAAATTATTAACATATATATTATGATATCCATCCAATCCATAAAAACATACATTGTAAAGGCTCCACAGTCGAGCAGATTGTATAGACATTCATTCAAGCAGTCATCTCTTTTTGAGGCCATCTTTATGAAATCTGTTTTTGAATACCATTTAGTTGTTGGAGATTAATAAGAATAAGGCTAGTTCCACTTGTTGTGTCTACTAATCTGTATAGCATACGCGATCAAGTAATATGTAATCGTTACCGTTTTCATCATTAAGAGTTGCATTAAGACTTTTAATTCATATTAATGAAATGTTACTAAAAATGTGTATACTCACCTCGATCATCTTTCTGACATGACTAGGAGTCTCGACTTCATCCTTCAAATACTTGTCAACACTCGCTTCTTCGTACGAAACTTTGAAAACATTTGCTGTATTTTTCTCATCTGATTTCTCTTTATCAGAGCTTGAGTCATCGTTGTCGTCGGATTTAACTTCTGTCGTATCATTGCCTTCAACACCAACTGTGGCATTCACATCTCTTCGGCGTCTACCGAAGGATGGTTCAGATCTGCCTGTGTGACTAGGACAATAGGCCTGTAAAGAGTTAAATATTGTAATAATAACTGATTTGAACTCCTAAATCTAATGAAAATAACACTCAATTTCCATCACAATAATTTGAAGGTGAATACTCTGTCACTCAATCGATGATACAAAAATAACGATGAGCGAGGAAACCATTAGTTTTCATCGGAATTCATTATAAGTATCATAATTTAAATTCGTAGAGCAATCATTCTTATACATAAAGTTTTTTTAATCGTGCGAAGGACGTTAAGCAGCTAGCAGCATTAATCTATTTTTTCCCTAGTTCAGAAGTGACCTGTATGTGTCGTATTAAGGTTAACACACCTGTGCGCAGATAGAAAAATGTTTGTAAGTCTATATTGATACTGTTCAGCACCTTTAATGATTCCTGAATTTAATAAATGCTTACAAGGAAGAACATGTAGGATCGAATGGAAAACAATAGGGAGTGATGAAAATTTAAGACTGTATATCGGGTAAAGTGTTATAAAATAAACATATGACCTATGGATAAGAAAGAAGAGCAAAACGTGTACGATATTAAATAAATATGTGTAAAGGCTGATCTTGATGTTGATTGTGTCAGAGTTAGGGTCAATCCACACTTAACAGTCGCACGTCGACCGCCAAAATTATTCTCATAACATTTAAGATAGTGGGTGGAACGTCAGGTCGTGCACACTTATTACGCAAGAATGTGCACGTAACTAATCAGTTGTAACAGGTTAACATTTATATAACATTTATATCATAGTTGACCCTATCTTCTTTGTTATCACAAGTGTGGAAATAAGCAGCTAACGAACCCTAACATTGTCAGGAAGTGCACGCAAATTAAGATAAACACGTGATAAGTTCGTGATTTAACTAGATATCTTAAATGTTAAGGTCGTAACTTTAAATAGACTGTTTCCACATATTAAATGATATGCAATATAAACAGCAACACTGTTATTTATTAAAGACCTAAGAACATTCGATAATTACAGATAACATTGTGTAACTGGATGAAGCTTGTACAATATACCTAAACGTACTGACGTAATTAAAACTGTAGGTCAGCTACTAACATACCCATTTAGATAAGATGGACAAACATGTTAGTATCAGTAAATAGTTTTAGCCATGTAGTTAATGCATTTACCGGTTGGCAGCCTTCGCGACACGTACGCACTGTCGCCTCAAATACCAAAAAGTTAGACTCTGGTATCTTGAAAGCATTGAAACGCGCTTCGAGCGAATCTCCATTGCGACCTTTGTCTAGTTCTGGGAACACATCTGGATCGACTGGACATCTGAAAATATGGAATTTATTTTCTTAATTTAATCATACAAATAAAACAAAAAAAAATGAAATGACAAAAAAAAACATAGAAATTTCTTGTCCAATGCCTCCGTGCTTATGCATGTAATGGTAATAATAAGCTGGAACGTCTAATGCAGTCTATACATAAGTTACAATATTGTAAGATTTTCTTGTAATTCCTTCAGAACAGTTAGAGTCATAGGAAGAGATATTTTAGTAGTATCTGGCTTCTGTTTACATTTTTTAATTCATTGAGGATGTTTTTTAAGCTGAATAAAATAACATTAACGGTCGGATGGCGTAATGGTGTGCGTAACGGTCTGCTACTCCAAAGGTCGCGGGTGCGATTCCCGTTTAAGATAAACATTTGTGTGTATGAACATTTATCTCAATATCATTATGATTTTTGTGATAGACTATTATTATTATATTTTAGTCAACTGCATGTGGGTAAGTAAAAAATTAAGGTAGACAGCAAACGCAACCGAGAGACAAAAGTTAGTTGACTTAACATACGCTTATATAACTACGCCTTATGACTTGTTACTGAACTTAGGTATTTATAAAAAAAAAATACGTACCCGATACGATCAATTAATTGCACGGAGCGGCCTGAATAAGGATCTCTTGCGATAACATTTGTAGCAAATATGTCTGTAGCATAGTTGTATCCGTCTTGGGCTTCTAGTCTAAAGGTCAGCGGGTCACCAACAGCAATAGTGGTTGTCGGTCGTCCTTGGTATAAGATCATGAGGCGAACTTTGGAGTTCAATGAGCTCTCTTCGGGGAGGTATTCGATTGGAATCGGACTGCCGGATCTGTCAATCAAAAAATTTTCATGGCTACGGTTAGATTCAAAGCCAATCTTTATTCATTAACGTTACTGACTTTGAATGAATTGAGAAGAATTTGAAAAGTAATCAAAGATATTTAAATAAACATTCATTCAAAGTCGGTGGTTAGTAGCTGTTAGTTAAAATAACAGCACTCAAAACCGTAAGACTACCTCACTAATTCAACCAAAATGTTAATTTCTACATTCCAGTTTCAAAACATAACAACATCCAGCAAACACAAACAAATGAATTTAGAAAAGCAGGGAACATAACAAAAACGCATCTCATCAACCCAGACCACCATTTAAATGAGTGAGTGACAACTTAAATGAGTTTTTCAATAAAGTAACCAAAGTAGTTAGATTTTAGAAAACTCAAAAGAATCAGAAAACTAGTCTAACAAAAACAGGCTAACGTTGTTACAGTTAAAATATAAACTTGTTGTGTCTATTTGATAATAAAAATCTAAAGATATTTAAAAATATTCTTTTCCTGATGATTAACAAGGTCAATGAACACATTTGATTCATTCAATTCAATGACAAACATTGAGTTGTTATTAATGTAATGCGATCTTAACAAAATAATTAGTGACCAGAACTGGGAACTTCACTATGACGTCATTCTTTTAAATTTCTAAGACATATATATTGTTGGAGATATGACATGTATTATCAAGTAGACACATAAGCAGTTGGTAATGAAGTTCTCACCCGGCTCCGATGTAATTGGAGGTAACCACAGCTTCTGCAGGTCCTCTAAACAGACAAGTTAGATTGAACCGCTTGTCTCGAGAAGTTTGCACATTGTCACTAAATTGTACGACAACGATATTGGTCATTGTGTCTCCATACTGAAATGACAACAATAGTTACATCATATTATTTAAAGTAAACTTTAAACGATACAACTAAGAAACAATATGGCAAGTGTCACAATTTAGACTGCAATGAGATGCAAGACTGCAATTTAGAATGAAATGCAAGAGTAAATATTTTACTAATGATAATAACGATATTCAATGCTACTTTTACATGTATTAGCATGGTTTTCGATTTACCGTTTCGAGAGTAAGATTCGATAAAAATAATAACCATACTAAGTAAGAAAACAAAAGTATAGTGATCATTTAGTTACATCCATATTAAACACGCTTCAAAAATTGAAAAAGTTCTGCCCAGCTAGTTATTAATTAATAAGTAAATTATTGCCAGGACGGTATCGTGAGTCTAGGCCTTATACGAACTGGTTGGTTGCATGCATATAATTTCAGATTTTTTGCATGCAAAAAAAAATGAAGTACCAAAATTTTTTTCTTCTTATTTTCTAAGAAAGCCACATTGTGAGTTTGTGATTTCATTACTCAAAGTATCATGTACAAACAAAATCTTTACTGAAATCAGCCTGTCTAAATTGAAGATAAAAAGTAAATATACAAACCCGCTGAGTGCCACATTCTGGATATCCATGTGCTCCAGTTATACGCAAAGCATTAACCACTCCACCGTTACCACGGAAGAAACAGCGGTCATAAAAACCATAGGTATACATTCGACCATAGAATCCTTCGGGAAGGCGAAGTGTGAACTCCATTCCATCCTCGTTACATACCTGAGACACTACAAAAACAGTGTGATGTTAATGATTTTAGAGTAACCTTGAATGTGTCAATAATAGTAAAATTTTATACCATCCAAGCAATCATCAGCCATCCTGCCAAGAGCTCTCTCATAGAAATCATATTCGTTAGCCGTGTTGTCGAAATGCGCAGGATTGGCAGCATCTAATTCTCGAGTATCGCGATCGCTGAGTTCACAATTATCCCGCGGCTCTCCAGCGTAACCTACATCCCTGTTACCATAATGTATGTGAGTAGTTATCTGCATGTTCTATATTTAACATATGATTATATAATGGCTGATTCAGCGATATACCTAAAGTTGAACGACCGGCAGATGAAGTCTTTAGCTTCAATACATTCTCGCTGGCAATGAGCCAAGGACTGAGCTGTTGTAAACCGCCGTACGAAACGCCTTTGCATGCGCTGCCTGCCGACTTGTCTGAAACTATCTTCTTCACAACGCGATCCCTGCCAAGGCCTTTGACCAACGGGGGGTCCTCCGATAGGTCCACCTACGCCGCCCCCTACTGGACCACCGATTGGCCCATTAAGACCATTCAAAGGTGGTCGACTCACAGGTGGTCCAATTGGTCCATCAGGTTCATATCCACCGTAAACAGGTCCACCTAAATATTTTAAAAATTAGACTTGACATTAGACTTAGAAATTCTTGGCTTTCATGATTAATTTTATTAGCATGTATGTAATATCGCGAATTTCGTTGTCATGAAAAGTAATAGTTACAATATTCCATATCGAATTCCAACTAGGATGAGGAATAACAATTGAAATTTCCTCGTCTCGTACAAATATTCACGTTAATAAACACTTTCCTTTTTAAACCAAATGTATTTTCAAAGTTCCTTGCTTACCAATTGGTCGATCAACAGGTCCCGGCGGTGGATAAGTTCCTCGATACCCATTTGGTCGCTCTATAGGCCTAGGCCTCAGCCCGAAGCTTGGTCTAGGTTCTACTGGATATCTGTTTATTAATAATATTTATATTAATTAGAATAAAATAATGTGGAAAGGAAACGTTTACTTATAATTCAGTTTGTTACAGAATTTAGCGTTTAGTTGGAATGATTGTAAACGGTGTGCGTGAATTTTGTTTTGTATCGAAATACTTTACGTATCGTTTGTTTGTGCTAAAGTTCTTAAATTAAATATAAGAAAAACATTGGCTATTGTAACTACAAAGAAATAATATCAATAATATTGTCAATAAACGCATAAAACTTGAAAGAAGCTCTTAAAAGAAGGAATCGATATATTTTTTTCTAATTTATAACTTGAATATTATAGTAACATTATATACATTCACGATTAAAATATTATATTAATACCCATAAATTATGTCACACGAATTACATGATTTATGATTCGATATTATTTATCTCCGTCATATAAGTTCTTTCTAGAATATTTTTTTAAGTGTACTCGTAGTACAGGTTTTTTTTGTGATTTAATATTTGGTTTAGATTTGAAGTTTACCATCACGAAACTTATGGGTTCTTGGAACCCCCACTTCTTAATGTGTAAAGTAATTTATGGATTGTCCTTTACTCGTATTTTATGTGGTGACAACACCAGGTAACATGACCTCTACCAGCAACACGTTTTATTAAGTAACATGGACACAATGTAAATATATTTCAATAGATTGATTGCATTAGTTACCTGTCTGCACCAGGACGAATGTCTCGGTCCGGGAAACGATTAGGGCCAACATAATCCGGACCATAATAACCACCGCGACTATACCCTGCTATAAAGTATTCCATATATTATATGTTTAATAATTAACAAAACTATAATAATATTTAATTAATCATGTACTGAATTCTGTGCTCACCAGGATATGACGATCCGGTCGGCGGATATTTGTCATATAAATCCGGGTAACGGTCACCGCCCAACGGTACAGGGTCTCTGTTAACTCCGACAGGGTACCGACTGAACGGGTACCGTCCCCAGTCATTAGGGCCTGGGGATCGGTCCTGATCGTATCTGTCAGGATAGCGGCCAGGGGTCCACCCCGGTCTTACTGGGTATCGCCCACCACCTCGAACTGGATTAATCGGATATCTTTCCCTGTCAGCAGGAAGTCTTTCAGGGTACCTGTCTGATGGGTATCTTTCTGGATAGACGTCTATAGGATATCGACTAATAGGATATCTGTCTGCAGGATATCTTCCGATGTCATTAGAAGGATAGTCATAGGTAGGGTACCGTCCACTGTCAAGGGGAAAGCGATCACCACCAGGGACAGGATACCTTCCGCCAGTTTGAGGATATCTATCAATACTAGATGGATATCTATCAGGTCCCGCGGGGTAACGATCGACACCTGGTGGATAACGGTCTACACCTGGTGGGTATCGGTCGGCACCTGGTGGAAAACGGTCAGGTGGGTAGCGATCGAGACCTGGTGGATATCTATCGATGCCAGGAGGGTATCTGTCAGAAGGGTAGCGTTCTGGGCCCACTCCAGGTGGGTATCTGTCAGAAGGATAGCGTTCTGGGCCCACTCCAGGTGGGTATCTGTCAGACGGGTAGCGGTCTGATCCGGCGCTGGAAGGGTATCTATCGTCGTAACGGTCGTCGTTAGTGCTCGGATATCTGTCGTCTGGATACCGATCCGGTCGACGATCGCGGTCGTACCGATCGTCGTCGCGGTCATCATCCGGATAGCGGTCTACACCTGGCGGATATCTGTCTCGGTCGCCGCCATTACTACCACCTGTTTAAAAAATAAATTCTTAAAAGGGTCTTTCGGTAGATTTAGGTGAAAATCATGCAAAAAAACAATATCTAAGTTCTACTAAATTAGTGTGTTTTGAGCTAACTACGGTTAAATTTAGCATGCTACGTATTACATGGAAACTTATAATGTATCAATATATTCATAAATTATTTATTCTAACTAATAACAACCAGATACCTACGTACAAACTACAAAGTCATACCTATGACTACTTTACACAAAATGTCATACCGAACACTCAAACAGCACCTCAAACAAAATACTATTTCACCCATGAACTGTATTGCCAATTATTTTTTAAGCAATTGCCAATCTCAAACGATTGTTGAATGTTTTGAGTCATATATTTTGACGACAGGAATGTGCAAAACGGTTTTAATGAGATCATGACTTATTGATTTAGGTAATAAAAGCTATAATTTTGACAAAACAGAGATTGTTGCTTTTGTGTGTGTTGATCTATGACTTTAGAGTCTACATGGAAGACGATTTCAAACAATTTTGAAAATTTTATGAAATAAAGAAAGTTTGAGTTTGAGTTTGAGTTTATACTGACCAGCAATTTAAGTGAGGAGGAAATTCATAGTCAAAACTTTTAATGGTAGTAACATGGTATGGACAATGCCGCAGTAGCCAATGGATAATAAAAAAGATAGGTAGCTATTAAATACTATTGTAGTAAGAAATGTTCACTTAAGCCATTTATTTGAACGTGCTACGGGTTAACAGAATGAATAACAACTGTGTACAAATTTAGTTACAAGTTATTTGATTGCAACAACGAATAGACTTTTTAGGAGACATTTAAGTTGAGTATATAGTAATATAAGTAAAACAAAGAACAATGGCCGGTCCCCATACATAATTTTATTTGAAGTGAAATGACAGCGTTTAAATATCAAAAATGCCTAAAACCCTTGAGAATTTATTCTTGAACATTCTCATAAAAAAATTACTAGTGAAAGAAGTCTAGGAAAAAAGATATTGGCTTTTGAATGTTTCGAGGTTAAGTACTAAAATATTGTCAATGTTTTGTTTGAAACTAGATGGCGTTGTGTGTCATATATTCGAAAATATTATTCATCATTATTATTACTTATAAGCAACCCTATTTTGCTGTAGAAAGTGTTAGCCAACTCTCTAAATGGGTGAAGGAAAGAAGGGTATTTGCTTGGCATCTATTGGTAAACAATAGAAAAAATCTTCGCTTACATAGCAGGTGTAATACTAGCTATAAATAAATAAATTAATAATAATAATTTTAATAAATGTACTTCAATACACATTTAAACAAGGCGGGAGCATTTATTTATTTATTTAGTTATTCAACAGTCAGTAGTTGTGACATTATTTACTAAAAGCATGCATCCATTTTATTGAGATTAATGCACAACATTTTAAGGCATCACATCATGCATATAGGAGTAACACTATATGAAATTAAAATTAAAATAAACATATATGAGAGTTTAATACTAAACAAAAGTGAAACAACCAAACAAACTACAATTGCCTTGTGAGAAATGGAATGTAAGTCATGCGTGTAAGTGTCAAATGACAAGACTAGTAAGTGCGACGACGACGTATCGACATTTTAAAAATATCGATATATGTCTATTTATGTGCCGTTATCAACCTACAATGTCTTTTTCTCATCACACTAAACAGTATATTGTTTTAGTATTTTTCTGTAGGAAAATAACGTAACTATATTCTATTTATTTTGGTGTAGCAAAAATCTTTTAAAAAGAGTCAAAAATATTCTAAATTATTTCTAATTAGGTTGATTTAGTCATTACAGTACTAGTTACGGTAGCGTATGAGTAAACCCGTGGGCAGAAGCATAATCATAATAGGTGAACCTTCGATAGATATCGATTATCGATAAAACGTTCCATAATATAATAATATCATCACGCATCCCTAGTCAGTTCGTGATGGCGATTCTGACATTACGTACTTAGGTCAAATAAAATCTTTAAAATATCCAATCTCTTATTAGACTTATACAACACATGGCGGTATAATGATAAATCATAGAAAAAATATTTAGTAAGTTTAGTATTAGTCAATTTTTTAAACGCTTCAGTTTTAGGTAAATATGTTTCTGCCATTGTTCTTTAATAAAACCCGAACATCTTGAATTTATTAGAGTTTATAGTTGACGATCGTACTAATATAAACGTACTGAATATTGTGAATTTACCAATTTCTTATCGTTGACATATCTGCGCAATATTTTTAGAGCAACTGTCATGGGTGCACTATAAACATTGATCTCAATATACAAAACATTCATCAATCGTCAAGATTGAACCGTTCCTGTCTACCATGCAGCGAACCTGTAGAAGTAGCTGGACGTCCCCAATTGCCCTGTGAACCAGTTGCGGGGCTCCCTGCTTCTGTCTCACCTGCCACTAGCTGATCTGAATGCCCACAATAGTAATGTCAAACTATTTTGCCTTTCACATATTCGTTAATATTAAAATTTTAAATTACATTAATGAATACCACCGTTACTTAAGTGTTATTAAAAATATATTTTAGATGAACTTCCCGTATATATGATGTTCTGATCAAGAAGTTAAGTGCCGTTAAATTACAATAAGTAGGTGCCACATTGAATATTCTGTCTAATTTAGAAATTTAAACATGCAACCTTTCTAGGATACGTAACTATCCATTCATTAAATCAGAAAAATTTATGGTTGCTATCCATCTAGTCAAAATTTGTCCTTGTTGCAATAGTAAAGTAGCTTTTTGAAATTCTACATCAAATCAACGGCACAAAAATATTTAATGCATAATCCGATCTTATGTAATAACAATTGCTTTCTATAAGAGAGTGTAGACTCGCTCTAACTTAGGTAATAGGATACCTAATATACAATTTTAATGTTTATAACAAAAAATATGTAATGCTTATCATAACGACACACCCTGATCTAACATGTCGTGGCGTCTACAGTGCTACAGTTTTACTTATTTATACCTAACATTAAAATCTTGAATTTATTAATTGAGAGCCTGAGCAATTACCGTACGATACAAAACAACCTGCCTACGACTCCGCACAGCATAATTTACTTTAATAAGAGCGATAAAGTAGATCTATTTTTAGACCCAGAAGAGTCAATGTCATACGATGTTATGCATGCCTTATTGGTGCAATTGCTGAGCAGTTATGGCCACCAAGTACTAACCAATGATATTCGTTCTATTGAGACTGAGTATGATGAATATGACATATATGAAAAGGGTCACCAATTGTTCATTTATATATACTTTAATTATAAAACAATATACACTTATGGGCTATTATTTTAAGGAGCTGTTAGTGACGTGCATTCTCAATTATGATTGATGTGATCTCATTCTCGTTAAACCATAGACGAGGCAAAATATTTGGGTTAGGATGTAACTTTTCAGTTAGAGCAGTTAGGTAATAAGTAGTTTGTGTAATTTATGGATTCAAACAATTGTCAGTTTCATAAATAACTTGTTTCGAACATGATTGTCAGAGCTTGTTAAACAACTGTAGACAAACGAATAAAGATATAAATGTGATAATAAAGATGTGAAGAAATAGGTATAGTAAGTCAGTCCAGCAAAAATATTGCTGCTGGCTAACAAACCTGGATCGAAACGATTACCATCGCTCCATTACAACAGTTAAGTGAAGATATTTATTTTATACCGATATTGATTTTAACCCCCACTCACTCACCACCACCACGGTATGAATAGGGGTGTCACCACCCCTATTCATCCCGTGGGTGTCGTAAGAGCCGACTAAGGGAAAAACTGCGTAGAACACCAGCACTGTATAGAGAAGGAAAACTTGACACAAACCCTATACCAACCCGTCTGGCAGCGTGGTATAGTAGGCCAAAACCTCCTTTCTAAGGAGAGGCTTATGTCCAGCAGTGGACTGTTAAAGGCTGTTGATGTGATTTATTTTATATACAGTACATGTAGGTGTCACCCCTAATCGTCCCTAAAATAAGACTTACTACGCTTCGCCAGTTTTTTATTAATCCTAATTCACACTGATACGTTTATTGGAGTCTTCCGTCCCTGCAATCACAAGTGCAATACGTCATTTGACGTCTAAACAATCTCCCGTGGTGCAAAATAAGTATGGTCCGATCAGTTTAACTATTTTGTTTATCTAACGCATACTTAGAAAAACTTACAGGAACCTATAGGTGATACAAAATATATTTGTACCAATATTTAAAGGTGAATCTAATATGTAAATATCTCGTGTCACGGTGTTTGTGCTCGCTGCTTTGAAACAGCTAGACAAATTATAAAGATTTTTTCTTTGTATATTTTATAGATATTAGAATGGGTCGTGAAATATTTTTCACCTACCTAACCGTACCCACTATTTTTTATTTGCGATTTTAGTATTTCATGGCAGAACAACGTTTATCGGGTCAGCTAGTAATTCTATAATATACCTACGATATTTTTAAATTTGTATACATTTCAAATAACACATAAGCTCTAAACATAATTACAATATTTCTTTCTTTGTTTCTATTCATATAATCCTAAAAATGTTCTTTTGCAATAATCAAATTGTTACGGGAACTTCCTAAATATACTAACGGACACGATCAAAATTCTATCTATGAATCATACAATAATTATTTCATACAATATATGATTCACAAATTCGTCCTAAACTTAACAATACCTAGTTGAGCAAATGATAAACAAAGCAAATATTACGCCATTCGATTTGTATAAAAATAAATCTAACAATCTCATTGAAGTTTTAAACAAACATTATGTATGTTAATAATAATACTCACGCATTAAATTTTCATAATAATCGAAATCGGGATCGTAGAGCAGCCGCATACCATCCTTCTGATTGTATCTGCTCAACCGGCATGTTCTGGCGCGGTCACTGTACACCGCCGACCTGAACAATAACATGTTTGCTGCAAATACATGAACATTATGTGTTCCTATATTGTGATGAATAGCTAACACGCAATCCTGTTTGGCCAGTGCCGTTTTGTCACTGTATCAGTGTCTCTAGCAACCGATTTTCAGAGCAGTGTTATCAAAAATAATAAAAACTGTTTTATCTGTCTATTTTTAATTACGTTTACATTATTTATATAAGTGTTTTTTAATTATTATATTAATTAATGGAATTACTTACTAAATTACGAATTAATATGTTCTAACCTAACCAATAAAATGTTAAATATTTAATCCACTATGCGATTTGTCATGATGACTTTTCTTTTTGATAAAAACAGTATAATAATATAATGATATTCTACCACAATCACACAACGCCATCTAGTCCCAAACTAAGCAAAGCTTGTACTATGGGTACTAGACAACTGATATAAATACATATATACTTTTTTTTTTGTAAATACATACATATTATACATAGAAACACCCAGACCAAATCAAACATTAAATGTTCATGCACACAAATGCTTGACTTGGGCGGGAATCGAACCCGCGACCTTTGGAATAGCAGTCCGTTACACAAACCACTAGGCCATTCGGTCGTCAGTGATTGATATAAATGAATTAAAAACAAAATAAATTCTAACAGTTGAGTCCCTTTGTAGAAAACTAGTATAGAGGTGTATTTCTAGACAAGCAAAATATTCAGTTCAGTGTTTCAAACTTGTATAAAATACAAGAGTTTTTTTCTCATATAAAATGTCATTTGTTTAAATTGTTAAACAAAAATCTGTGTTCTTCTTGCGAATAAGAGTATTTCTTGGTACACAGCGGATTGTACGGTCTCGCTATCTTAAAATCAATAATTTCTTAAAAACAATTTAACCACAATTGATTTTTGTAGGCTAATCAGATGTTAGTATGAGTGCATGTTTAACTTAGTGTGTCATTCGGTACAAAACATAAACAAATCCAAAGTCGGTCACAGCCTTTTTTTCGTCTGTAATCCATCATGTGTATAACCAATATGTCGAAATGTTGAAGTATTTATCTTTAATGTTAAATCTGCTGCCGTGAAACAAATATAAAAAAACAAAGACTTTTAGTTTTTTTCTTATAAAACAATACTCTAATGAGTCATCTTATATGTGATCTAATACTAGTTACTCGTATTACGTTTCAGCATTTTTAATTTGGATTAGTAATTTTGCTTTCAGTACTTAAGAGCGTACTCCTTCCTAAAAGGCCGCCAACGCGTTTGTGACTCCTGAGTTACAGATGTTCATGGGCGGCGATAGTCACTTTCCATCAGGTGACCCGTCTTCTCGTCTGCCCCCTCTAACATAAAAAAAAAATACTTACCAACCACTTACCTAATCGGTAGATGTAAGATTTTAGTTAAAAGTATTAGTAGTAGTTAAAAGTAGTATAAAAGTTAATGTTATGTATGTTCAAAATAATATAAACTAAGTATCACCGTTATTGAACCTAACACCAATATATATCTATCAGATATATTATATCAGATTATTATATATCTTAAATACAATAGGATAGATGACTGTCAATATCTTTTTATTAAAAGTCAAACAATAGACATTTTTGTATAAAATACAATGACGTGACGTCATACATAGATTACCTAGCTAGCAAATCATTTACATTTAATGTTCATTTCATGACCACTAGAAACATTATCACTTCAATTGATAACGCATGACAATTTAGGCTGTACTTTAAGATGAAGACATTTAATGATGCAGGCAAAATAATTTATTTTAAAACTAGGAATCGACCCTATTATGTACGACTCGAGGTAATAAAACCTTTATCGTCTATACAACAATATATGAATAGCGTGTAGTCAGTAAATACGTTGTTATTCTTAATAAATACTTGCACACTTGTAATGGTCGATTTGACATACAACTGCCTATTAGAATTGAAACATCTAAATGATACGTTATCGTACATTGAACTTATTTTAAGTATTTATAGTACAAAATATGTTCAGATAAAGCGAGTATTTTTCATATACATAGAAATCTCTCGTAAATAATATTTAAAATTAAGAATAACAGCTTTGTCCTTGTGATAAATATTCTATTACGTGGTTGATATTGTTCCAACACAGTGAGGTCGAATTTAAGTGTGTACCTACATAGAACGCTATTAAACTGCATCGTTGTTCCCACTCCCACTCGTGCGGAACATTACCAACGAAGGGTGTTGCAGTCAGTTTTAGATGTTCTATCGACGAATTTTCCTCAGACGAATAATCATCAACGAATGTCCTATTCCCATGCAAGGATACTCTTGGACACTTTAGTTTAACTTCTTATTTCATTTCAGAAATTTTAATGCTAATAATAAGGTTAATACTTGTTTGGTTATATTTACTTCAAAATTCATGACTTTAATTCCAAAAAGATTGTCACGAATATGTCTGTATTGAATATTTAGCTGTAGCGTATTATTTTACGATCGAAGATACTAATCTTTGGAACTATTAGACCGATATGATTTTTTTTTATGTATTAATCAATTCTCATTGTCTGGCTATTAAATAAAAAACTCATACAGAAAATTATTTTTCTCGTACATTGTGTATAACACATAACATGGACAAAGTGGGTAGCTACTACAAAAAAATTGACGAATTGGCTATCCCGCAGACTACTTGATGTAGCAATAAGTTCCAGGTTACCATGTCGTGGAAATACCATTAAAGTAACAGAATACCAAATTTCAGATCAATCGGACCTGTGGATTTTAGTGAGATCCCTTCATCATCTAGGAAGTGAGCTGATTACCTTCAAAATTTATAGCTAAGAACCATCTCGATCTCGGAGCTATGATGCCACAGATAGGCAGACAGATACACAGGTTAACCTTAAAACACCCCTCGTTTTCCGTCAGGGGTTAAAAATATTAATCAATAGTAATTCGTGGGTGTTCTACATTTTAATCAAAGCAAAAATATCTAGGCAACTTTGCATGAAGCATTTAAGAATAATTTAAACAACAGAACGTTTTTTAAAGGGTAAAAGTTCTGTTATTTTCAATATCTTGTAACTAGTATATTAAATGGGGCTGCAGCGATGCAACACAGGTAGGATAACATCGAAAGCTATAGTAGTAACTACTTCCATATTGAGTATTTATTTATGTATGTACACGTTTATTGAAAAATATGTAAAAGATATAATTCATTACTATTAAATTAATACAATGTAAGATCTCTTTGTCATCAGAGTCTAAAAGAAGATTACCTGCATTGAAAGCTCGTCTGCCTTAAACATTCATCCAAGCACTCGCTTAAAGATCTTCCAGTGATTTCAGAATGAAATTCTCCAGTAATTCTGCTGTTTCTGTATCTCTGGAAGGCAGTGTCCGGTCGTCGTCCAGGCGAGAACAGATGGGAGGTTACACTGTTGTCTGGATACTCCGTGCCGCGAGCTGTCACCCGATGAGAGACTGATCATAATCGTGAGAAAAACCTTAATGTGGTTTCATGCATTACTGTAATATTAGTATCTATGGTAATTAATAAAAATGGTAACAAATAGGCTATTCACAAGTTGTGTATTCTGGGTAATGTAAAAACAACACATGCTTAAAAATTCCAAGCTTTAGGAACAACCCACGTGCATATTTTGCTATTTTCAGGCTACTGAGAATTCAAACAAACACACGACCAAGCTAAAGATAAGCGGTAATTATTAGCACCTTTGGATTAAGGTAAGGTTGATATTAAAATATAATCAAAAATCTGTTGAATACGTTAGAGTCGGTTTTTTTTTGTAAGCAAAACGTAACTATTACGTTTTAATTTTGACCATTGTCAGAATAACTGGTATGTATAGTAACTTTGCTTGGGATAGAATAAGACTGGAGACTAGGCAATAATTCTAAATGCGAAGAGAGTTTTAAATTAGCGGCAAAATTTACAAATACTCATGAAGTATTTATTAATTTACAAATACTCAAGAGTTTTAAAAATGAAAAATAAATTTAGACACCACAAAAAACAAACAGTACGAAAATGTAACCGTCTTTGAGAACGTTAATTTAACTAAGTTAAATACTTATAATATTTAATTAAAGATTTATATAAACTACCAAACTTAACCATAAAAAATACAAATAGTTTTGATAATACTCACGATTGTCCAGGCAGACAAGGTCGTAAAAGTGATGGGTAGGTGAAGCGCTGACAGTTACATCATCCTTTTGCGATACCGAGTCTTCTTCCGAGAGGACACACTGACGCGTCATGGCGTCATGTTCAATAGAACGACAAAAATACCTACAAAGTAAAAGTGAACCATGCGACTTGAAACGAATGACGGAATGTTGATATTTTAATGCAGTTCGGCTAAGAACTAAAAGTTCAAATCAATGAAACTGAATGAAATATGACAACTTGAAAATAACGTGGAAAAAACACAACACACACACACAAGGACACATTAAATACAAAGTACTTACTTCTCAGCGCGAACACACATAGCTTGGCACTCATCTAAAGTCATGTTACTAAAAACATCAGCTTCAAATGGTCCTCCAAGACGTTTATTTTCTTCTTTAATAAATACTGCTAAGCCATCACAACGCCGTTCAGCTAGAAGAAGAGAAGAATCAATATTTGTTCTAAAATATCTATATATTTTATATTGTAGTATCTAAAATCTTTACCGTTCAAACAAGTATTCTCCAAATAATCAGCATTATGATCATCTTCTAATAATTCTGGATGAGTCCGTCTGGTAAATCTACTCAAAGAACAAGTTCTCAAAGCAGAATCATATGTCGCAGAACGACATACAAAACTAAATTCACCCAAACATTTATCTTCGCATTCAGTTCGATTAGCAACCATGATTTCCTTGAGATCGGATGGTGGAAGTTTCAACCGTTTTCGGGCATGACGTTCAAAGACATACCGACGAGATGGGCATTCACGTTCCGGACGATTAGCTAAAATATATAAATTCATAGTAACTACAGTGTGAAGAAACATGCCAGTAAAAACTTGCATAAACTGAACTTACATGTAAGACAGATTTCATTGAAATGAACACTGTTTGGAACAATCATGAGGGTTCCTATTCCTTCTGGAGCAGCCTGTTCTCTAGTCAAGTAGCATGTTGATTCTTCGTACTCAGGTTCAGGACTAAAAGCAGCTATACGAGCACCAGGTTGAAAGTCTATAGAGTTGCAAGTTCTGACCAAACTGTTGCCGGAACGGTCACGCAAGCACAGGTCCTGGCATTTTTCCAACACGCGGAAAGGTGGCGCTGTTTCTCGTACCTATGGTAATGAGGAATCAATAAATGCATGATAAGTGTAAACCAGAGAGTTTAACAGTTTATACAGGGTGTTATAGAAAAGCGTTTGCAATTTGCGAAAAGTTATATATGTATAGCCGACAAATTTTAATACTTTGGAACTGCTTTCGATCATTTTTTCTAGTTATCCCAAACAGGACAACATTTCCAAACAACGTACTCGTATTATGAATTCACCGATTTGCAATAATAACGATGTGTATTTTTTATATTAAACATAAGCCATGACAGTTAATTTTTAATTTATGATATTGAATTAAATAAAAAAAATTTTTTTTATCTTGATATTGGCTATACCACAGTACAATTATAATACAGTAGTGTAACTCGGCTGCATGATAGAAATAAATGCCTACAGCCGCGCGGTACGTAAACATGCGTTAGGGCTGCCCGTCTCCAGCATTTTAATTATATTTGCCTACTTTCTGTTTCTATTTAGATTTGTGATTGTAAATATCCTTTTTATAATAATAAATGAAATACTTTGTATATTGAATAGGAAGTGTTCAATAAAAATGCGTGTTGTTTTTTGATTGGTAGATTTAATTATTTTATTTTCTTTCTGCATTGGAGGAGTTCAAGTTTCAGTTTTATTTTTCTTGGAGTGTTGCTAGAGAGACTCGTTGAGAATTGAGCAAAGATTTAAACTTAAATAGGAACTCAAGTTAGGTTTGTTTTCCAAATCATCTCGCCGGATCAGTTGCAACCATTGAAGACGTCTGAAAAAAAATTACATGTGGCACTCTCGGAGACTGCCGCGGTAAAGCTGTTGCATAATTATTTTTTTTTAAAGAAAAAAATCTGCGTGGTTTCTCAGGTATTTTTCGTTAGGTTCTGAGAATTTCTTGATTTGGTCACCGCGCCGCGCCGCGCTCAGAGAACTCACAAAGTAAAATAAAAGCTATGCAATAGCTTAAAAATCCTTCTATAAAATAAAAAAAATGGGCGCCTCCATACGCGTTACAAAACTCCAATCTTTAGAAACTCCAACACCTGCCTACTCAACTAGAATGCAAGAAACAGCTGACGAGTAAGTAACTTTTTATCTCAGCTTATTAACGTCTCCATAAATTAGGTACCTACCTACAACTCGCAACAACTCAAAACAAAAATTCTTTGGTCACCAATTAATTAATTATTAAAAAGCTGAACAGCTGACTACGAATATTTTAAAATCACAATCCTCAAACATCTAAATATTATATATGAGTCTAGCTGTTGTTGTTAATACCGAGAAAATAAAACCAGTTTTTAGTGGTATATGTTGTTACAGTAGCAGCAGAAACACTTTGTGAAAATTTCGAAAACTATCTAATGACACACAGACGGTAAAAAAAAAATTCTAGTATTATTCATACACACAGATAATAAACAAATATTATTAATAATAAAATACCACGTCTTTACTTTGAATTATGCAAAGTAACAAAACACACATGCACCGAAGTTTTAACACAAGCGTAAGTAGTTACCTACCGTATCATGATTCATTCAGAACCGCATATAACTACCTATTTCACTCGTCTCAATAACTTTCCGTTACTCTATTCGCTTTATTTATTAATCCAAACACCTTTTTTTTTGTGAGATAAAAGGAAATACTTATCCATTAAAAAGACACATATTATGTACCTACCTACTAGTAAGTAAAATTATTATTTTATTAATTATTATTAAGTAAAGTAAAATTATTATAGTAATTTAAAAAAACTTATGTCTGGATGCGTTATTGACGAATTCATACAACCAAAAACAGCACAATATTTCCTACTCGTCATATTAACTGATTTTTAGAGAAAAAATCGCGCGGTTATTGTTAAAAAAACAACACACCGTCCGTTCGACACTGCGGTACAGCCGTAACTGTCTGCGCCCCGAGCGCGATCGAGGCGCGTAGGTATAGCTCGCGTTTCGTCCGTTTGTATGAAGTTGGAGTACTGTATTATAATACTACCGTGGCTATACCGAGTACAACAAACAGCATATTACAGCAATCAAGAGTATCATTTATTATCCTAACGATCATGGTTAAACTTCTACAGTTATATTACTTGTAAATTTTGCTAGTCATAAATAACAAATTCATTTGGTGTTCTACTTACCACATCGTCATCGAATCCATGCAACTGTTGATTCGGTAGCCGCTCGTACATCACTCTGCCCATCCCTTGGTTACATGTTGTTTGGGCTGCGAACAATACAGCCGTATTTTTGGACTTAAACTTTCACTATTCTAAATATTAAAACTTTCCTGCTAATGCCGTTTTTACCTCTTCTCCACCTACAGGTTATGATTCTCTGATGGATGACTTATTGAGATTATTTTTGTTAGCCAGTATCTTTGCAACCAGATGAAAAAAAAATATCGCAAGAATAAATTAGATACATTTAAGAACTTACTTTATAAATATAAGGTAAATCTGACGAAAAAACTAGTTATATAAAATGTATAACTAATTATTGACTTTTCTATGCAGACCACCCTGGTCAATATTTTGATTAAATGCAACGTGTGATACGTGCTGAATAAGAAAAATAGAGATATAAGTACAGTATGTATATATTGGACGATCTTAAAAATAATTGATCTAGGATTATTATTAAGATACCTATAGGTACTATAGAGAAGACGCAACTTGTAAGAAGGTTGGTAGGTATATTCTTAATGGTTGACTCACCGTTGGCCATGGTGAGCATGGTGAGCGCAGTAAAGGCGTGCATGACGCTCGCCCCCCGGGGCTTCATCTTCTAACGCTGTCACTGGCACCGCGTCACCGACCACACATGTGGTGACCTGATAAAAAATAACAAAAAAATGTAGTAAAGTTTTAACAGGCATTTGACATAACTCATTTATTCTATACAAATGGACTAGAGGTCACTTATTTGATCTTGCAAAATCCTGTTCGGGAGAGTCAAGTCACATTTCAGACTAGGTCTGAACCGCTCGATTGTTGTAGTACTTTTATGTGTAGCAGGCGTAAGAGTATCACTTTTCCTATCTAATAACGCCGTCGATTTAAAAAAAATAAGAGAGCATTTTATTTAAATATCGAATCGAATCAGTTTTTAAATTTTGTTGTTTATTTAAAAAAAAATGTGTTTAGAACTCCAATTTCAATTAAAGATATCAGTTTTACAAATGTCGGATTTTATTACCCTCTATACATTTTTACTATGCGTTGCGCTAATAGTAGGTAATAGATACACTCAGGGCCAAGGATACAGTTAAAACACACTAAATCTACAAAAATGAATAATGCCGAGCTACCTAAGTAAATTGACATATTTTAGCCTAATGAGTACCTAATTTAAACCATTTAATGTTGCCATTCGGTAAACGATGATCATTTGGTTGCTTGCGCAAATGATGTTGCGCAAATCATTATTCGCGCATGAAATATGTCAATCTAGACCAAGGCTGCCTTTAGCAAACATTATGCATTCAGATATTAAATACCAATAACAATCTGCAGCATTTGTTTAACCTATAATTACGACATTTAGAGGACAAAATTATGGTAAAACATGGATCTATCCGTTTCATTATAGTACAGGTTTTGTAAATGTGTGTGGTTTTGTAAAAGTTATAACTATAATCTAACTATAACTATAATGTTTAAAGTGTATGACCAATGTCATAGTATGCATCGCCATGCTGTGTGATTGTATATGTGATACGGTGTGGCGATGCGTCTCCATGCGCAGTCTGAATATTTTATTTTTATTTAGTATAGACTTATTTATTATTTCTTGTCATAATTTATGGGTATTAATTATTTATACAAAATAATTTACAATAAAAATTTACATCTGCCTGACATCCCGCGACTACTCACTTTTATTTCTAGATGGAAAATCCTTGATGTTACATTAAAAATGGACGTTTGTTCAATATCACTTATGTATATACTTTGCATAAAAAATTATTATATTATTTTAACTAATCAGAGCAAATTACAATATAAGCACACACTCACTCATAAAAAACAAAAGAAATACATCGTAGTTATTTGTAAAATAAAATAAAGATATTTTTATTTTTAATAATTTAAATATAGAACCCATAAATATTAACAAAAGGATTTGTTTCTTTGTTTGTTTAAGAAAATCAAACCATCAATTTAGATAAAATGTACATTTTCATAAACAAGATCCCTTCCAAAACAATCGTCACTTGTTTATTTGATGTACGCAGTGTGTGTTAACAAGACTTTATGTAACAAACAGAGCTATCATTGATCTCGATATAAACGAGCATGTATTTATTGTTATTAAAATATTGGTGTGACACGAATTCCCAACAAGAAGTCAACCAATACAAGGGACGGTCAACAAATAGTTTTTAAATACATGGAACAACCGGTGAACAAAGTGTCGGTAGCTGGTCATTTGAACCATATACATGTCCATGGATCACTACTCATTGATATCATTTTAACAGTATATTTATTGACGGTTGTCGCCATATTGAAATGGATACATTCCGATATAAACACCGTTACTTTGCACAAAGCCGTAGAATCGTGCAATTAAATGTATTCAATATATTGTTGCGATATATCAATGGCATAAATTGTTAGGCGAGAATTTTCAATATAATACCTTCGTATTATGTTGTATATCATTGATAAAAATATTTATCACGTAAATGAGGAGGACGGTCTCCATCTAAAACTTATAGCATCTCTGCAAATTTAAGATTTTGTTATTTTCTTATTCTTTTAAAATACATTTTATAATAGACAGAACTTTACATATGTTTAACCGACTTAAAAAAAAAGAAGGTTCTCGAAAACAAGAAAGACACAAAAGAAAAGAAGAATGTATTGTTTTATGTTTTGTACTTCAGTCACTCGGTCACACAAATATGCAACTGCTAGAAGGAAGAAGGAAGGAATAAAGAATACAGTTTATTCAAAGCAAATCCATTATCATGTTGTAGTTGCATAAAAGCGAAAGGATAATTATTTCAAAATACTCTTGGATATTAGTTTACTCTTTAAATTTCGGTCATTATGTGTATTTTCCTTAACGTGACAACGGAAAAGATCAGGCTTTATCTTATGGCATTGGTATCGTTTAGTACAAGTATCGTATTTAGCATTATACGGCAACACATTATTGTCTTTGTTTGTCATTTCATTTAAACTGTCTTTGTTCTTTAAGATTTCAGTAATTTTTTTAAAGGTTAACTAGCCAAACATTAACAATCTAAAAGAAAAAAATAGGTTTAAAAAATATTCAGTCGAACTAAGAACCTTTTCGATTCTCTTGTCGCATCTCGGTGGACGAAATATTTTTTGTATATATGTTACGCAATTTCTGTACCACTTCTAAATCGATTCCAATATTATTATTTATAAAAGTCTAGCAAACAAACACACACCTGTTTTTATTCCGGAACTATTTTTATTTGAATGATCGATGATACCAACATGAACACACCATCATGTATGCCGTTTTCATGCTGGTAAACTTAAAAAAAAACAAAGGATAATATGTAACCTATCTACATTAGAGACGTTGTGAATGTATTTGCTATTGCACACGTTGCTTTGTAAATAACTCATTATAACATACGCGTAATCTAACAGAATTAAAATTGTTCAGTTCGCTAGTTATTGTTTACGTTCCAATGTATCCTCTGGAATTCCAGTCAGTTCCACGAGAATATCACGATTGACATTGCTGACAAAGATTCTTCAAATCGGATGTTTGTACCTAAACTTACATTGTTCTGCAATCACCTACTTTCATTTCATCGGGATTTACTGATTTGTAAACAATTTATCATTTGTAGTATTTTGTATATAACTTATGCCAAACGTATAATAATATGTGCCAAACGTAGTGCTAATTAAAAAAAAATAATTGACATGACACTTTTAGCATACTAAAAGTAATATGTATTTTTTTGTCATGAAATTGTTTCTTTTAACCGATTCCAACATTTATTCTGCGCACGCAAGGATACACATACAGTTTTTGGTGTAGGTATTCTCAGCTTACTCAAAAAATATATTGTCGAAAACAAAAACCGAAATAAACTTTTAAAGACTTTGATTTTTTTCAAAATTACATTACATAGCGTACTCATTTAGCTATCACAAATGGTTTTGGTAACTGGAATAGAGACTTTTACAAATACAAAGGCAACTGGTTCAATCATTGTCACATAACACGTCATATGGCTTATCTGGCAATTGTATTTTTTTTTCAAGTTGCAAACTATATATTTATACACATATATTGTATGTGTACAGTACTTGTCCTTACCAAAAGTACTAGAACACTATTACTGAGAGGGCCAGGCCCATTATACAATTAAAGTTCCCATTGCTGACAATAAATTTAATGCCGCCACAATCAAATTCAAATATTTAGATATTTTCTGGCCATGCTAAAGATATTACAGATTATTCAATCACTGTAGAAAAATAGAAAAAAGCTTAAAATGAAATTCGCTTTTTCTTATCAAATTTTAGAAAGTTGAAATTAATTAGGGATTAGCTAATATTTAACAATTGTGACATAATTAGTAATAATTGTGTTGAAGACAGCAAACAAAGCGAGTATCCGTCTAGACGTTCGACTCATGATTATAATATTATCGTGGTGTTGTTTTGCTACTATGCAATTGGAACACAATAAAATTCTTTTATCAGTTTCCTTGAAATTTTCCTTCCTGTATCCGAAGTATGCTGCAATTATTAATAGTGCCAGGGAAACGCAACAGGTAAAGAAAACCATTTGTTATGTACTTACTTCTAAACTACTATGTCAAGTAAATATAACTCGTCGAGTACTCGAGTCTAAATTTCAACTTAAGTAAAAGTTTTAAGTACATATAACATTATTCTTACTTAAATGCATTTCAAACGCTTATAAGAAATGTTCGTACATATAAAATGTAATCGAAATCGAAATCTCTCCAAAAAAATGTGTTTTAATGTAATCCTCTGTAAATTATGCAATAAGGTACATAAACCGAATATTTAAGCCTCATTCTAATACTTTAACGTGTTTGAAAGTAACTACTAAGTTCAAATAAAAGAGAAAAACAGAAGTTGCCTTATTCCTTAATACATATGGTGGTATCTTAAAAATTGATAATCATTAGTTAAAACCTTCAAATGTTATACACTTTTCAAATGTGTCTAGTTGCGCAGTAGAGTATCAAATTCGCAAGTACCATCTACATTCCACAGGCAGGTAGTACAAATCGTACAATAAAATCTACATGACAATGATGGCTGAAGGCTTGGACTATGAAAATTTTGGTGTTTCCAAAAAAATGTGCCGATGGAAAGCGGATGTGTATTTCCGGCACATTGTGCTCGACCGATGTCCTCGCCAGGCCAATTGGACAAATGACGTGGCTACCAAATTTTGATACAGTTAGCTTTACCGTGAAATCGTTGTCTGGTCACTGTTTGCAGAATCGATGGAATTTTCAATAGATTTCATGTTATGTTCGGGTCAATTAAACATAATTTGAAACTGAAATATCTGCACGATACTTTCGTATCTTTTTTACAAGTTCGTGGTATCTGTTTCACAATATACAATTTGTGTAGAACTATTTACACTGGTATAATCTTATTTAATGCTCTTATAACATCTATAGACGTCAGCAGACGACTATCTGTAGAGGTCAGCAGACGGTACACCTCGTACCGTCTGCTGACCTCCAAACTTCATTTTGAGGATGGCACCCCATGATGATAACATCTATATGACTTCTTGGAATTATTTTTTGTAATACTTATAGCACCAGTATAAGGATACTCG